CCCCATACCCACATGTCATCCCTTATTCCTTTTTTTAAAAACACTATCTCTTGGGGTCCCTGGCTGGCTCAGTCCGTAGAGCGTGCGACTCTTGATCTCAGGATTTTACAAGAATTTACTCTTGTAAATTCAAGCCCCAGGTTGGGTGTAGCAATTATTTAAAGATAAAAAACAAAACACACAAAAAACCTATCTCTTCAATAAATTCTTAGACAGATGCCTAATCTTGTCTACAGTATGCTTACTGAAGAGTTTCACTCTCAAAGGAGGATTTTTTTCTTGAACTGTGGGGAGATTGTTTACCACCACTGACTAATGGTAGGAATGTAATCATTGTCTTCCTTTTGTGCTGGGGAAAGTGGTCTTTGGAGTTAGTAGAAGTAACCCTAAGGATATGTGAGTCCTCCGGAAGCTAAAATCATTTCTGGAATATGCAAATATATAATTTGGAAATACATAAATGTATATAGAGAATCAGCTACAATCCCAGATATTTTAAAATGAGGAAGGACACAAATATAAAGCATTTTCTTTGTTTTGCTATTAATTATTCCTTATGTGCATAGATGTCAAGGGTGGCCAGGCAGGCAAGAGTTTTCAGAAATCTGACTGGGATTAAGATGATTAGCTACAGGGTCCTAGTCTACAAAACTAGTGGTGAGAATGACTAAAGAGTTCGCTTTGCTTAAGCATTTTCAAGGCTTTCTAAAAAATTGCTTTGGCCACATTTTTTTAAATTGTAAAATACTTAATTATGTATCTTGTTCAATCATAAATTTATTGTAGATGTGAGATGACTGGGAGCTCAGTTCAACCCAAGGAAGTTATTTTGTATTTTTCAGACAACAATTATTGTTTAAAGTTTTTCTATTTAAAGATAAAATCTGACTTCATATAGCTCTCAATCTTTGGCCCTATGCCTGCCTTGAAAAGCAAAGAAGAATGAGCTATCTTCTACAAAATAGTCCTTCAAAGATCTGAAGACAGTCCTAGTGCCCGTCCAATTGTGTCCCTGCTGCCCCACCACCTGGTCTCCAGCTCCTTCCCTATGAGCACTAGTTCATCAACGTGTGCTTAAAATAAGGCACTCAGATTGAACTCCTGGTATGGCCCGAGGCGTACAAAATAGGAAGAACTGTAACTTTCTGTGATCTGAATGCTGAACATTCATTTGGTTAGGTAAAAGCAGCCACTAGATTGCTGTTTTAAGAACAACAACTTTATGGTTTCTGGCAGAGAGACTTGTCTAATTCAATAGGAAAAAACCTTAAGCTTACATTTACAACAGATTAAAATATTCATGCATTTGGATACAGAAACACCATCTTATATGAATATAAATAATGGATTAACAGAAAAATTTTTGCACAACAGAAGCTAACCTGATTTTCACGTTACTATCTTGCAGTTACCTTTGCACGGTAACTTCCTGCACTAGGAAGCCTTTGGGGAATGTAATTTCCACTGCCTTGTGATGTTAATTTGAGGTAATTATCATAAGTAGACTAAAAAAAAGTTTTGCATATTATTTGTTCTTGTGGGAGCCCAGGGCTGTTGGCAAGTCAGTATACAGGAGAGGCCAGAGGAGAGGAATATTCAGAATTTAGAAACTTCTTTAACAGCCCTGGATCATAAGGTTTCAAAGCTTTTAATGCTTCCCAGCCTTTGCCTGGTAAAACCTTCCTCACAGATGCTGGGAAGCCCGCCTGAAGGGCTCTGAGAGCTCTCTGCACTTGATATTTTTAATGCACTTGAATTTTCAGGTTTTCCAAGGCAGGATGGGTAAGAATAAAACCGCTTCTCCAGTCCATTTGGCTATTTAACAGTTCTGTCAGGTAAAGAGGGGAAAATAGGTAATTTTTTCCCCTTAACACCACCACTATGAATTTGGGTTACTTGCTGAGCTTGTGTGGTAGGAAGAAATAGGAAACCCTGGTGTCCATGGTTCTGTGATCTCATCTGACCACCCCCTAGGAGGCCTCCTTGAGCCATTTCCAGGGGGCATTTTCACTGTTGGCTTGGCCTCCCACCCCTCTTTTTTTTTTCTTAAAGATTTTATTTATTTATTTAATAGAGAGAGAGAGACAGTGAGAGAGGGAACAGAAGCAGGGGGAGCGGGAGAGGGAGAAGCAGGCTTCTGGCCCGGCAGGGAGCCCAATGCAGGGCTCGATCCCAGGACCCGGAGATCATGACCCAAGCTGAAGGCAGTCGCCCAACGACTGAGCTACCCAGGTGCCCCCTTGGCCTCCCTTTTTGAGACCAAAATCAGAACAGAAGAGCTTATGGGTGCTCTTAATAGTAAGTGACTTGCTGTTTTTCCAGACACCTGTCCCTGTGCCAGGGAATCTAGGCTGGGGGCTTCAGTGCAGCAGTCACCAAGTAGGGGGCTGCAGAAAGAGAAGGAAGAGATTGCTCAGGAGAGTCTGGGAATTCAAGAATGTGGGAGCAGTGATTGCAATAACTATTCACTAGTTTATTTATTTATTTATTTTTAAAGATTTTACCTATCCATTTATTTGAGAGAGAGGGAGCGAAAGGGGGGGAGGGGGTGGGAGGAGCAGAGAGAGAGGGACAAGCAAACTCCATGCTGAGTACAGAGCCCTAGGAGGGCCTCAATCCCAGGACCTGAAAATCATGACCTGAGCCGAAGGCAGACACTTAACCGGCTGAGCTACCCAGGCGCCCCTATTCACTAGCTTTAAAGAGTAAGTCTGTGACTGGTACAAACTTAGGTACAGACTTTCTATCTACAGGGTACTTTGGCAAAACACAGCAAAAGCTTTAAAAGTGTGCCTGCTCTTTTAAACCAGGAATGTCCCTTCTAGAAGTTCATCAGAAGAAAATACAAACAAATAAACCTCCTCATGTCCATAGAAGTTCAGTTGAAAGGATGTCATAGTGGCATTGATTAAAATTTTTTACCAAAACTTAAAAATAGGAGAATGTGGGGCACCTGGGTGGCTCAGTCAGTTAAGCCTCTGCCTTCAGCTCAGGTCATGATCCCGGGGTCCTCAGATTGAGCCCCACATTGAGCCCAGCATCGGGCTTCCCACTCAGCGGGGAGTCTGCTTCTCCCTCTCCCTTCATCCCTCCCCCCTGGTTGTGCTCAACCCCGCTCAAATAAATAAATAAAATCTTAAAAAAAAAAGAGAATGTTCCATTTCATTAGGAACTCAGAAGCGTCTTGGCTCTGAATTGTCACACTCAACAAGGATAACAACAAACCTGCCAACTACGTATTTGGTGAAAACATGATGCAACCTCCAAAGTGTTGTTGAGAGTTGCCAAAGACGAAAAAAAGCAGAAGAGCTGGTGAAAAACCTTGAGGGAGGAAGGGATATACAGCCTCAGAGAGTTCAGAAATCTCCAGCAATTATTGCCTTTCAGAAGGGGAGGATCCTACAGCGAAAGAGAACTACAAGTACAAGACCTAAATGGAACAAAACGAGATTGCTGGGAACAGTGGAAAGTCTTGGAAAGCACCAAAGGGGGGAAGAAAAAAACTTTTAAAAGTACTCTTAGAAACAAAGGCCGTAAAAAATTCTGGGAGACAGATGGACAGAAAAGCTCTCCTCACTCAAACTCTGAAATCCAGAGGGGGTGACTTCCCACAGAAGCCACGTCAGGGGTCCATCACTGGGGTAACACTGAGAGCCCCCCTGGTCCCACCTCTCCACTCCTCCACCAGTTTTCTAGGGAAAAAATCACTACCACAAACAGCAGACCAACACCTGCAAGACACTCAAAGGAAGAAAAGTATGGGCCAATAATTTTACCCACCAAACTGATCTTCAAGTATAAAGCTTAAAGACAAACGTCTTAAAACCTGTAAGAAATCAGGGAATATTATTTTCATGAGCCCTTTCCAAAGAACCTCCTAGAACTATAAAAGAGCAGTCACAGCACCACTTGGCGAGCCTGATGAAATCAGGGTAAAAGGCCCTTCCTTGAGCACTGAATGTATTTAACTGTAGAAGTAAGAGTAAAACAAATATAGAGATCAGGGTGACAGATCAGAATGCAAATGTTACATGCCTTAATAATGCAGAAATTTCTCATTACTAATAAAACACTGGAGAGAGAGAAGATAGGAATAAGAATGAGCTTACTAATTGCCTCAAATCAACAGATTCAAAGGAGAGTATTTAAAATTTCCAAATCGAGTAGAAGCTTAAGCATATTTAATATAAACACTAAGACTGATAATACTATTGACTGTACGAAGGATTGGATTACAAGATAATTTTTTTGTGTTCATAGTAGGGAATCAACGTATTTTACAAAGGTAACTTCTAGAACAAAATTACAAACCTTCCTAAATATCAAAACTACATTAAGAAGAAAGGGAAATACAAAAATACATTAGGAAAACACAACATAATGACAGAACTGAGAACAAATACATCTGTCATCTCAATAAATATAAATGAGTTTAACTCATTTTTTTTTTAAAGATTTTATTTATTTGACAGAGAGACACAGTGAGAGAGGGAACACAAGCAGGGGGAGTGGGAGAGGGGAAGCAGGCTTCCCGCTGAGCAGGGGGCCTGATGCGGGGCTCGATCCCAGGACCCTGGGATCATGACCTGATCCGAAGGCAGATGCTTAACGACTGAGCCACCCAGGCGCCCCTTAACTCATTTTTTAAAACGGTTTTCAAAATGGAATTCAAAGTCCAGTCCAACTCTAGAGTAGGTACACATCTAAGACAAAATGATCTAGAAAGGTTAATAATGAAAGGATGGGCAAAGAAAGGTGTACCAAAAAATTGCAAACATTAAAAAGCTTAGTATCTGACAACATAAAATTCAGGATCAAAAGCTTTAGCCAAGATAAAGAGAAGGACTTTTTAATGCTAAAGACTATAATTCATCATGAAAATTTAAGCTATGAATATCTATGCACCAAATAATAGAGCAAGAACTTTCATGTAATGGAAATCGTAGAGATACAAGGAAATTTAGCCAGAGACACACTAATTATACAAGACTTTGATTTACCTTTTCCAATCCAAAACAGATCCAGTGGCCAAAATTAAATGATGATCTAGAAGTCTAAACAAGACAATCCAAAAGGTAGGTGTTATTGATATGCATCAAATATTGTGCCCTGAGAATAGAGAACATACTTTCTTTTCAAGTGCTCTGGAATATTCATACACACACACTTGCATATACACAAAAGATTATATATTAGGCCACAAACCAAACTTCATTAAATTCCCACAGTAAAAAATAATACAGATAGCATCTTATAATACCAACACAACAAACATGAACATTTATAACATATTCAGAAAACAAACAGAAATTGTCCTTCTCTTTGGATACATATGGGGGGGGTCTATATTAAATAACTCCATGATCAAAAGGAAAATATAAATTCAAAACTGCAGAATTTCTAGAAAGCAACAATAATGAACATACCATATAGAAGCATCTATGAGTTCATCTAAAGTAGTACTCAAAGAAATATTCATTACCTTGAATAATTATATCAACATAAATGAAAGAAAAAAAATGGATTAAACTGGCTCAAAAGCTAGAAAAAGATTTTTTTTTAAGATTTTATTTATTTATTTGCCAGAGAGAGAGAGTGAGAGAGAGCACAAGCAGGGGGAGCGGCAGGCAGAGGGAGAAACAGGCTCCGATGTGGCACTTGAATGCAGGACCCTGGGATCATGACCTGAGCTATAGGCAGACGCTTAACCAGGCGCCCAGCTACCCAGGCGCCCCATAGAAAAGATTTTTTATTTATTTATTTATTTTTTTTTTTAAAAGATTTTATTTATTTATTTGAGAGAGAGAGAATGAGAGACAGAGAGCATGAGAAGGAGGAAGGTCAGAGGGAGAAGCAGACTCCCCGCCGAGCAGGGAGCCCAATGCGGGACTCGATCCCGGGACTCCAGGATCATGACCTGAGCCGACGGCAGTCGCTTAACCGACTGAGCCACCCAGGCGCCCCTAGAAAAGATTTTTTAAATAAGCCAAAGGAAAGCAAAAGGAAAAATTAATAAAGATAAATACAGAAACAATCAGTTAATACAACAAAACTATAGTGGAACTTACTAATAAACAAGTTTGTTCTTAGGAAGTTCAATTATGTTAACTAACTGGAATTTAAATAAAAACTTGAGAAAAGAAAAAAATAGAATTCAATGAATTAGGTAAGCCATAAACTAAATTAATCTTAAAAAAAAGAGAGGGAGGGGCGCCTGGGTGGCTCAGTCGTTAAGCATCTGCCTTCGGCTCCGGTCATGATCCCAGGGTCCTGGGATCGAGCCCCTCATCGGGCTCTCTGCTCCGCGAGAAGCCTGCTTCTCCCTCTCACACTCCCCCATGCTTGTGTTCCCGCTCTCGCTGTGTCTCTGTCAAATAAATCAATTAAATCTTTAAAAAAAAAGAGAGAGAGAGGGGTTGCTTGGGTGGCTCAGTTGGTTGAGCGTCTGCTTTCGGCTCAGGTCATGAACCAGGGGTGCTGGGATCGAGCCCCGCATCAGGCTCCCTGATCAGCAGGGAGTCTGCTTCTTCCTCTGACCTCCCCACTCTCATGATCTCACTCTCTCTCACTCTCTTTCAAATAAATAAAGTCTTTAACAAAAAAAAAAAAAAAAGAGAGAGAAAATGTACAAATACCCAAAATAAAAAATTACAAGTGGGAGGGAAATAGTCACACAAACATTAGAAAATAAAAAACAAACAAAAAATCATGAGAGAGGATGCCTGGGCCTCTCTCATGAGGTTAAGAGTTGGTTAAGAGTCTGCTTCTCCCTCAACCCCTCCACCCCTACCCTGGCCCCCCCACTTGTGCTCTCTTTCTCTAATGAATAAACAAAAATCTTTTAAAAAAAAAAGTCTCTCCCTCCCTCTGTCCCTCCCTATCCCTGTGCTCTCTCTCTCTCTGAAATAAACAAATATTAAAAAAAAAAACCTGTAAGAGACTACCTTATACAATTTTATGCAAATAAATTTTAAAATCTATAAAAATGTACAATTTTATCAGAAAACCAAAACAGACAAATTGCATGTGTTAAAATAATTTGAATAAAAATAATATGCATATATATCCAGATATAATATTGTAAAAGATAATAAGTAATTTTAATAAATAATTTTGTCAAAATAATTTGACAAAATTTGTCAAATGCTTACCCCTCCTTCCCAAAAAACCCCCAAAATTCCAGGACCATTGTTTTATAGGTGAATTCTACTAATCTACTAACCTTTAAAGATCAGATGATTCCAGTGATTTTTAAAATGCTCCTTAATTGAGACGCCTGGGTAGATCAGTTGGTTAAGCTTCTGCCTTCCGCTCGAGTCATGATCCCGGAGTCCTGGGATCGAGTCCCTGGGATTAAGTCCCCCGTCGGGCTCCTTGCTCAGTGGGGAGCCTGCTTCTCCCTCTCCCTCTGCCTTCCGTTCCCCCTGCTTGTGTTCTCTCTTTCTGTCTCTCTCTGACAAATGAATAAATAAATAAATAATCTTTTAAAAAATTTAAATAAAAATAAAATAAAATGCTCCATAATCTAGGAAAGAATAAAGACTTACAATTTCTTTTCATAAAGCAAATATAAGTACATTGAAACCAAACTATAATAAGAATTTTTAAAAGTAGGACAATGTCATTTATAAATATCAGTGCAAAAATCCTAAATCAAAAATATTAATTTATTTTTAAGATTTTATTTATTTATTTGAGAGAGAGAGAGAAGGAACAAGCAGTGGGGAGGGGTAGAGGGAGAGGTAGAAGCAGGCCCAGGAAGACTAGTGCAGAACTCGATCCCAGAACCCTGGGATCATGATCTGAGCTGAAGGCAGATGCTTAACCGACTGAGCCACCCAGGCAACCCTAAATAAAATTTTAGCAAGTAGAATCCAAAAGCACATTGGAGGGGCACCTGGGTGCCTCAGTCGTTGGGCATCTGCCTTCAGCTCAGGTCATGATCCTGGGGTCCTGGGATCGAGCCCCGCATCAGGCTTCCTGCTCTGTGGGAGGCCTGCTTCTCCCTCTCCCTCTGCCCCTGCTTGTGTTCCCTTTCTCGCTGTGTTTCTCTCTCTGTCAAATAAATAAATAAGATCTTAAAAAAGAAAAAAAAAAGCACACTGGAAGAATAATAAATTCTGACCAAATGGAGTTTATTCTAGAAATGGAAATGAAGTTCAATATTAGAAGATCTACTAATATAAATCATCATATTACTAGTTCTAAATATAAAAAATTATATGATTGTGTTTATAGGTACTGGAAATGGATTTGATAAAATTAAATACGTAGTCCTTTTTTTTTAATAAAGATTTTATTTATTTGACAGAGACACAGGAAGAGAGGGAACACAAGCAGGGGGAGTAGGAGAGGGAGAAGCAGGCTTCCCGCTGAGCAGGGGGCCTGATGCGGGGCTCCATCCCAGGACCCTGGGACCATGACCTGAACCAAAGGCAGACGCTTAACGACTGAGCCACCCGGGTGCCCCTAAATATTTATTCTTGATTAAAAACAAGACACTCAGCAAAATGGGAATCAATGGATATTTCCTTAAAACGAAAAAGTATGGTTTTTTTTCACAGCAGAAAAGCAACAATTTACTTAACAGAGACTCAGATATTTAGGATATGTTAGACGTAGTAACCAATGCAATGTAGACACAAGAAATAAAATTGTGGTAAAATAAACTGAAGAGAGCTCAGTATGGAGCCTGCTTCTCCCTCTCCCACTCTCCCTGCTTGTGTGCACACGCAGGCACGCACTCGCTCGCTCTCTCTGTCAAACAAATAAAATCTTAAAAAAGAAACGGAAGAGAAACATTTTAGATAATTTTCTAGAGTATCTTCTAGAATTCTCTTAAGGTTCACGGCCACAATCAATAGAACTGTTGAGGAAGGTTCTAGAAGATAATCTGAGGAGAAGGAGGAAAGAAGAGGAGCAGAGGGAGGAGGAAGAGGAAGAAGGTGATGAAAGAGAAAAGTGTGGTGGCTTTCAAATACGTTCACAAATTCTTTGACACTCCATTCAAAAGATGGAACCTGGGATGCCTGGGTGGCTCAGTCGTTAAGCGTCTGCCTTCAGCTCAGATCATGGTCCCAGGGTCCTGGGATCGAGGTCTGCATCAGGCTCCTTGCTCAGTGGGAAGCCTGCTTCTCCCTCTCCCACTCCCCCTGCTTGTGTTCTCTCTCTCTCTCTCTCTCCATCAAAATAAATAGATAAAATGTTGGTTTAAAAAAAAAAAAGATGGAGCCTAATTCTCTTGCCTCAATTGTGTACTGGGCTTAGTGACTTACTTCTAATGAACAGAGTAAGTTACAAGTGATGGTATGTGACCTATGAGTCCATGTTATAAAAAATATTGAGGCTTCTGCCCTGCTCTTTCTTGGTTCACTCACTCTGAAGAGAGACCCCTGCCCTGTGAGGGAGGACACACAAGCAGCCCTGTGGACAGGTGCATGTAGTGAGAACCAAGATCTGCAGAAAATAGCCATCTAAGGGGTGGCTCCTCTAGCCCTAACAAGGCTTCACATAAATGATGCCTCAGCTAACAAATGTATTGAAACACCATCAGAGACCTTGAGCCAGAACGATACTTAGCTCAAGAGCTAAGCCACTCCTAACTGAGTGTTGTTGGAGTGGGGGGTGGGGTGGGAGGGATGGGGTGACTGGGTGATGGACACTGGGGAGGGTGTGTGCTCTGGTAAGCACTGTGAATTGTGCAAGACTTGAATCTCAGATCTGTACCTCTGAAACAAATAATGCAATATATGTTAAGAAAAAAAAAAAGAAGAAGAAGAAGAAGGTAGCGGGAGGGGAAGAATGAAGCGGGGGAATCGGAGGAGTAGACGAACCATGAGAGACGATGGACTCTGAAAAACAAACTGAGGGTTCTAGAGGGGAGGGGGGTGGGAGGATGGGTTAGCCTGGTGATGGGTATTGAGGAGGGCACATTCTGCATGGAGCACTGGGTGTTATGCACAAACAATGAATCATGGAACACTTCATCTAAAACTAATGATGTAATGTATGGGGATTAACATAAGAATAAAATAAAAAAAAAAAAAGAGCTAAGCCACTCCTGAATTCCTGCTGTTGTTTTTTTAATTTTTTATTATTTTTATTTTTTATTTTTTAAAGATTTTATTTATTTATTTGACACAGAGAGAGAGCACAAGCAGCGGGAGTGGGAGAAGCAGGCTCCCCACTGAGCAGGGAGCCGATGGGGGGCTCAATCCCAGGACCCTGGGACCATGACCCAAGCCAAAGGCAGACATCTAACTGATCGGGCCACCCAGGTGCTCCTGTTGTTGTTTTTTAAAAATTATTTATGTATTTATTTGAGAGACAGATAGAGAGAGAGAGTGTGTGTGTGCCTACGTGTGTGCATAAGAGGGGCAGGGGTGGGCAGAGGGAGAGGGAGAGAGAAACTTAAGCAGACTCCTTGCTGAGTACAGAGCCTGATGAGGGGCTTGACCTCACAACCCTGAGATCACGACCTGAGCCTAAACCAAGAGTCTGACACTTAACCAAATGCACCAAGTGCGGGCGCCCCCTGAATTCCTGTTTTATACAGGTTGTTAGATAATAAATGTTTATTTTTTTTTAAATCATTAGGTTTTGGAGAAACTTGTTATGCAGCCATATAAGTAATACAGAGGGCAAAATAACGTCACTTTCAGATTGACAAAAAGTGAGCTTGTCACCAGCAGGTTTTTACTAAGGAAAATACTAACAATATTTTTCAGGTAGAAGAAAAATGATACCACATGGAAGGTAAGAGATAGAGAAGGAATGAAGAACAAATGAAGTAGTAAATATGTATATTAATCTAATGTTTCACTGGGTTTTTAAATACACAACAACAATAAGACCTAAATAAATGGGGAGATATACCATGTTTATGGATTCCAAGATTCAATATTAAGATGTTAATTTTCCCTAAATCAATCTATAGATTCAATACAACCCCAATTAAAAACCCAGCAGCCTGTTTTTCTAGAAACTGACAAGCTAATGCTCAAATCTGTATTAAAATGCAACAGACTAAAATAGCCAAAAGGGGCTCCTGGCTGGCTCAGTCAGAAGAGCATGTGACTCGGGGCGCCTGGGTGGCTCAGTTGTTAAGCGTCTGCCCTCAGCTCAGGTCATGATCCCAGGGTCCTGTGATCAAGCCCCGCACTGGACTCCCTGCTCAGCGGGAAGCCTGCTTCTCCCTCTCCCACTCCTCCTGCTTGTGTTCCCTCTCTCGCTGTGTCTCTCTCTGTCAAAGAAATAAAATCTTTAAAAAAAGAAAAAATAAAAGAGCATGTGACTCTTGATCTCAGGGTTGTGAGTTCAAGCCCTATGTTGGGTGTAGAGATTACTTAAATAAATAAATAAATGAACTTATATATATACATATAAATTTAAATATATATATTATATAAATATATATAAAGAAATAAAATAGCCAAAACAATTTTGGAAAAGAACACCATTGGAGGACTGAAACAATTTGATCTTAAGACTTATTATAAAGCTACAGCTCGGGTTGGCACGTTATTGCCCATGAGCAAAATCTAGCCTGCAGCCTGTTTTTGTAAAGCCCACAAGATACAAATGTTTTTTACATTTTTAAATAGTTGGAAAAAGAAACAAAGAAAAATATGCAACAGGAATTATATGTAGCCCACCCTTTACAGAAAAAGTTTGCTAACTCCTGAGTCTCCCTTATCAAGACAGTATAGTATTAGTAAAAAGATAGACACAGAGATCAATGACACAGAATAGAGAGTCCAGAAATAGACTCACACAAATATGGTCAACTGATTTTTTTTTTTTTAAGATTTTATTTATTTGACTGAGAGATTAGAGAGAGCACAAGTAGGCAGAGTGGCAGGCAGAAGGAGAGGGAGAAGTAGACTCCCCGCTGAGCAGGGAGCCCGATGTGGGACTCGATCCCAGGACCCTGGGATCATGACCCGAGCCGAAGGCGGACGCTTAATGACTAAGCCACCCGGGCGCCCCGGTCAACTGATTTTTGACAAGGATATTAAGGTAATTGAATGGAAAAAAGATAGTCCTTTCAACAAATTGTACTGGACCAATTAGATGACCATATGCAAAAAAAAAAAAAAAAAAGAATTTCAACTTTTGTTGGAAGACAATTCTCATAATTCTCAGTGGGTCTCTCATTCATCTGCACATCTTAAGAGTTAGACTCTAACTGCCCTTTTGTTGCAGGCTGTCTTTTTAAGGAGTTTGTCTATGAGACAGCTTAGAGATAGTGTCCACCTTCAGAGTAAAGGGCAGGTTTGTTTACTGTACAGATTAAAAAGGTTATGCATTGTTCTGGGCCGAAGGTTGGGCAGGTCTGCTTGCAGTCCTTTATAAAAAGACTGCTGTTCCCGGGCGCCTGGGTGGCTCAGTTGGTTGAGCGACTGCCTTCGGCTCAGGTCATGATTCTGGAGTCCCGGGATCGAGTCCCGCATCGGGCTCCCTGCTCGGCAGGGAGCCTGCTTCTCCCTCTGACCCTCCCCCCTCTCATGTGCTCTCTGTCTCTCTCATTCTCTCTGTCTCAAATAAATAAATAAAATCTTTAAAAAAAAAAAAAAGACTGCTGTTCCCTAAGCTTAGTGTTCCTCAGCTGTGATACAAACCCACTGTGTGTACCGTTTGTACTTCATCCGCCTGACCCTTTGGCATAGCTCCTGTGGAACTTGTGGACAAGGGGAACCAACATAAACCTGAGGCCCGTGCTGCTCCCAATGCTGTGGGTCATAAAGGTCTTTGTCTCTATGTAGGAGGCTATGTCTTTTACCAGCAGCCACTGAAACTGTGGCACGGTAGGTAACTTGTTAGCTTACAAGTAGGGTGAGATCTTATATCCTTTTTCCTTCTTGACAGCCCATACCTTGCATCATATACAAAAATTAACTTGAAATGAATCATGTATCTAAATGTAAAACCTAAAACTTCCAGAAGAAAACAGAAAATGTTCATGTCATTGGGTTAGGCAAAGTTTCTTAGACCAAAAAGCATGACTCAGAAGAAATAAATTTGTATTTCATCAAAATTTAAAATTTTGCTCTTCAAAAGACAGGATTTTTAGGGCAGCAAACTCTTCTGTATGTTGCTATAATGGTGGATACATGTCCTTACACATTCATCAAAAGCCAGAGAACATACAACTCTAAGAATAAACCCTAATGTAAACTATGGACTTTGGACGATAATGATGTGTCAATGTCACAAATGTCCCATTCTGGTGCTAGATATTGATAGTTGGAGGGAGGGGAGGGATGAGGGAGATGGAAACTGCACTTTCTGCTCAATTTTGCCGCAAACCTAAAACTGCTCTAGGGGCCTGGGTGGCTCAGTCGGTTAAGTGTCTGCCTTTGGCTTGGGTCATGGTCCCAGGGTCTTGGGATCGAGCCCCGCATCGGGCTCCCTGCTCAGCGGGAAGCCTGCTTCTCCCTCTCCCACTCCCCCAGCTTGTGTTCCCTCTCTTGCTGTGTCTCTCTCTGTCAAATAAATAAATCTTTAAAAATAAATAAATAAATAAAACTGCTCTAAAAATAATGTTTTTTTTTTCTCTTAATGGCAAAGTATCTGAATAGACATTTCTCCAAAGAAGATAGACAAATGGCCAATAACCACATGAAAGATGCTCAATATCATTAGTTTTAGGGAGATACAAAACCACAATGAGATATAACTCTGTACTCGCTAAAATGACTATAATAAAAAAAAAGGGAAAATAGTAATTGATGGCAGGGATGTGGAGAAGCTGGAACCCTCATACATTGGTGGTGAGTGTTTAGAATGGTGCAGACACTGTGGCAAACAATCTGCCAGGTCTTCAAAGGGTTAAACATAGACCCAGCAATCCAGTATATATCCAAGACAATTGAAAACGGATGTCACACAAAAACGTGTACATGAATGTTCACAGAAGCATTATTCATAAGAGCCAAAATGTAGAAACAACCCAGATGTCCATCAAATGGTGAATGGATAAACAGAATGTGCCATATCCATATAATGGCGTGTTTTTCTTTTTTTTTTTTTAGATTTATTTATTTATTTATTTATTTATTTGAGAGAGAGAAAGAGAGAGAGCATGAGATGGGGGAGGGTCAGAGGGAGAAGCAGACTCCCTGCTGAGCAAGAAGCCAGATGCGGGACTCGATCCGGGGACTCCAGGATCATGACCTGAGCCGAAGGCAGTCGCTTAACCAACTGAGCCACCCAGGCGCCCTAATGGGGTGTTTTTCAACCACAAAAAGGAATGAAGAGCTGACACAAGGTACAACGTGGATGAACCTTGAAAACATGGTATAAGTGAAAGCGCTAGACACAAAAGACTACATACTATATGATTCCATTTATGTTACACATGCAGAATAGGAAACCCATAGAGACAAAAAGTAGATTAGTGGTTGCCAGGTGCTGGAGGGAATGGAAAGTAACTGCTAAAGGGTATGGGGTTTCTTCTGGGGGTGATGAAATGTTCTATTTTCAGCTTGTGTTGATAGTTGCACAAATCTGTGACTACACTAAAACCATTGAATTATATACTTTTTTTTTTTTAAGATTTTATTTATTTATTTGACAGAGAGAGAGACACAGCGAGAGAGGGAACACAAGCAGGGGGAGTGGGAGAGGGAGAAGCAGGCTTCCCACTGAGCAGGGAGCCCGACGTGCAGCTCGATCCCAGGACCCTAGGATCAGGACCTGAGCCGAAGGCAGACGCTTAATGACTGAGCCATCCAGGCACCCCTGAATTATATACCTCATTATTTTTTTTAAAGATTTTATTTATTCATTTGAGAGAGAAAGAATGAGAGAGAGAGCACATGAGAGGGGGGAGGGTCAGAAGGAGAAGCAACTGAGCCACCCAGGTGCCTGAATTACATACTTTAAATGGGTGAATTTTATGGTATGTGAATTATATCCCAATAAAGATAAAAAAAAAAAGATGAGGTAGGGGTACCTGGGTGGCTCAGGTGATTAAGCACTGACTTCGGCTCAGGTCATGATGCTGGGGTCCTGGGATCGAGCCCCACATCAGGTTCTCTGCTTGGTAGGAAGCCTGCTTCTTTCTCTCCCTCTGCCTGCTACTCCTGCTGTTTGTGTTCTCCCTCTCTGTCAAATAAATAGATAAAATCTTAAAAAAAAAAAAAAAAGATGAGGTAGAGGGGCACCTGGGTGGCTCAGTCTGTTAAGCCTCTAACTCTTGATTTTGGCTCAGGTCATGATCTCAGGGTCATGAAATCGAGGCCCATGTGAGGCTCCATGCTCAGTGGGGAGTCTGCTTGAGATTCTCTCTCCCTCTCCCTCTGCCCCTCCCCTGCTCGCTTGTGCTCTTTCTCTAAAATAAATAAATAAATCTTAAAAAAAAAAAGATGAGGTAGGAAAATTGATTCTTGTTTATATAAGTACTCCATTCTAAGGAATCTGAATCATAAAAACAAATTAGAAATAATAACCTGGACAAGAATTGGACTTGCCACAGGGTCCTGTAAAATGTTAATACTAACATTTTTAGACAATTTCGCATTTTGAAAGAATAATATAACAGTATCATATTATTTTTAATAATACCTATTTGTGCACTTTTAGGTTCTTATACCTTGCATGCATGTTTGAATATATTTGTATGTAGGTAAATAAGCTCGTTGCTGGATGACCCCTAGCTTTTTCCCACCCCATTGGCCAAGTTATCTGTGTAGCTACAGCTGCTGATAACAAACCCTGGGTTCCTATTTCGGGGCCAGCTTCTCAACTGTACAGCAGGTGACCAAGAATTTGGTTCAGAGAAGGCTCATCAATGATTTTCAAAGTTTGGTCAGTGGCAGATGGAATACTTGGAACCTTGATTCTGAGCATCCAGTGATAGGCCCGGGAATTGCTATTTCAACAAGTCCCTCAAGGAGTGTGATCTGCACTCAATTTTGAGAGCCCCAGCTGTGGGCACCTATTCCTGATTGCTGTGGAGAAGCTGTGACTGTTCACATTCTCCTTGCTTGCCAGGGTGAGAGTGGCATGCCTCCTTATTGTTAACCTTAATGGGACTTTAGTGAGCCTGGTGCTGGGTCTGCAGGCACAGTCTTCTCATTATACTGCCTGGTATTTCCATTTTGGATGGGGTTTCTGTCTGCTGGGGTCCTGACATCCCATCAGAATCTGTCCCTGGATCCTATTCACAATATACTACGCTGGAGACCAGGATCATGAACTCTAGGGCAGGCTCTATACCTCTCCCCACAAGTGATGAGGGATGAAGGGGCATCATCTTAGGTCAATAACCTCTCAAGGCTGATGGGGGCTCAAGTGATTTCCCAAGTACTATACTTGAATGCTTCCAGGGATGGGAAATTCACCACTTACAAGTAAGCTCTTCTCTCTGTGGATCTGCTCCCTGTCCCTTGAATGGCCAGCAGAGTTATGCCAGTCTCACTTGCTCATCTCATGTGGACACATCTATTCTGGCTCCTTCCAACATCTTTTGGAAACAGGGGTGTCTCTGCTCTGGTTAAAATCCTTCAGACACTCGCATTCTTCTTAGGATCTAGACCACAGTCCCTACCATGGCCTACTATTCTTGCTGATCTTTGCAACCTCATCTCCTCCGCTCTAGGACCCTGTCCCACAGATCTTGGCGTTCTCTTACCAGGCCAGGCTGTGTCTTGCCATGGCCTATGTCTCTTTAAGTGGTTAACTCCTATTCATCCCTTGGCTCTCCAGCATCATTTCCCTGATCTCCAAGTCTGGATCAGGTCCCTTGCTTGTTCATGCTCCTAACACTCTGGGCCTCTCATTAACATCTGCCAATGCTGAAACTGTTCACTCAAGCAATTCTTTCACCAATGTTTGCCTCCCCCAGTAGACGGCAAAGTTCATTAGTCCAGGGATCTGAGTTTGCTCTCTTGCATCCCCAGCATCTAGCAAAAAGCCTGGCAGGTATTTAATTGGACGGATGGCTAGCTCCAGGAAGGCGGGCCACAACTGGGAATTAATCAAAGACAGACCCGGAGCAGCTACACATATAAAGCCCTCAGAACTGAGGGCATCCGTGTGCGGCCAGGGGCCCGGGGAGCCCCCAGGGCAAGGACACAGCACAGCTCTGGCTGGCACCCAGCTGCCGAATGGGAGAGGGGCACTCCGTCTTTGTGCTTGGGGGCCTCAGTTTCCCTACCGGTTCCCCGCGGGGTCGACTGAGAATGGCCTCAGCGGCCCCCGCGTAGACGCACGCCAGGCGCAGCAGGCTGTGGAGGTCTGAGGGGCCCGAGCCGGTGAGGCCGCCGCTCCCGGCGAGGGCGCTCCAGGTCGGTCCTCCGGAGCAGTCGCGCGCCGCAGGGGGCCCTCTAGCCGCCAGGACGTGGCGCGGTGCGAGTCGGGAAGGCGGCGGGCGGGTGCGGCCTTCGGCGGCGGAGGGCGCCATGGTGGGTGGCGAGGCGGCCGCCGCGGTGGAGGAGCTAGTTTCGGGGGTGCGGCAGGCGGCCGACTTCGCGGAGCAGTTCCGCTCCTACTCGGAGAGCGAGAAGCAATGGAAGGCTCGCATGGAATTCATTCTGCGCCACTTGCCCGACTACCGCGACCCGCCCGATGGCGGCGGCCGCCTGGACCAGCTGCTGTCCCTCTCCATGGTGTGGGCCAACCACCTCTTCCTGGGTTGCAGGTGCGGACCCCTGCGGGCTGGCTGACCCTGTCCCCTGCCTTCAGACCCGCAGCCCTCCCCTAGGGCCGACCCCTGCCCAGTGCTGACCCCGCCCCCAACCTCCCGCCGCACTGGCCCGGCCTATGGCTGATTCCCACGCTAGCCAGCTCCTTGGAAAGACATTTAACCTCTCAGAGCCTCAATTTCCTCATTTGGAAAATGAGTTGTGAAGACTACAGTATTAAAGAGAAAAAAAAAAATGCACCTAGCACAGGCTATTTAGCAAGAGCTCAATCTATGGTGGGCGCTAAAATGCCATTGTCATCTGTATTAATACTATTAGTTTAAACCATCGCCTTTGCGGAGTGCATTGTAAGTGTCTTGGCTCCTTCCACCCACATGGCAAACGTGCAGACACAGAAACTGAGATCCCCATTTTACATATGAAGGAGCTGAGAGAGGGCCATATGTCTTCTGGCAGGATTGTGGATTTTACCGTTTATGGCAGGATGTGATCTGTGGCCTTTGGCTTTTTCTCCCCACTCCCCAGTCTGCTGGACTCTTTTGCCTCTCTGCCTTTCCTGTTAGGAAAATAACAGATGACTTCAAGGGGCTGTTGTTGAAGTGCTGGATAAGGCGCCCCTTGTACGCCCTCAAGGAAGAAGGTGTCAAATCTTGAAGCTCCCACATCCTTTTATTTTAGTGTCTTGAAATTGTGCTAGGATAGTAAGATGACTTGTCTTAGTCCTGGTTTCTGGGCCCGTTTTGGCTCTCGGACTCCAGTCATATGCTTCCGCCAGCCCTTAGCCACTTGGTTTGTTGGGGTTGTTAGAGCAGGATTTGGAGGAGCAGTGCCAAAGGCTTTTCCTCTGTTTTCTGGGTGCCCCTGAGAAATCCTGGTTAATGGGCTCCAAGACTAGGAAGATGTCAGAAAATTGGAAAAATGAACAAATGATGTTATTTACATTAGACCAACATTCCGTGTGTTTAAAAAATAAAACATTTGGTCCTCATACTGTATCCATGAATATGTACTGCCAGATGTACATTGCCTCTATTTTTGTAAATCTTTTTTGTTTTGTAAATCTTGAAACGCCTGCTCTATTTGCATTCCTACAGTCGCTTCTGAATCCACAAGCCAGAAGAAGGTTTCCTAACCTGCCGCTGAGCATGTGTCCATTTCCCCTGTAGTATCACATCAGAATGCTGAGTTGGGCTACTTGCAATTTCTCATTAACCCATAGTGACAAGTAATTTCTCCACGGTTTTTATCTTACTACTTTTTATTGTGCAGTTACAACAAAGACCTTTTAGACAAAGTGATGGAAATGGCTGATGGAATTGAAGTGGAAGACCTGCCACAGTTTACTACCAGGAGTGAATTAATGAAAAAGGTAAACAGGGTTTCTAAGTGCATTTGAAATGGTATAGCATTAATGGCCCCTGCTTTTATGTTGATGTGTTAGAGTATATTGTTTACTCCCCAAGGATCTAAGCCCTTTGATTAAAAAAAATTTTTTTTAAGATTTTTTTTTTAAATTTATTTATTTGACAGAGAGAGCGAGCAAGAGAGGGAACACAAGCAGGGGGAGTGGGAGGGGGAAAAGCAGGCTCCCTGCAGGCTCCCTGCCGAGCAGGGAACCTGTCTCGGGACTCGATCCCAGGATCCTGGGACCATGACCTGAGCCGAAGGCAGACGCCCAACGACCGAGCCACCCAGGCGCCCCTCATTAAAAATGTTTAAAAATTTAGGACGCCTGGGTGGCTCAGTGTCCTGGGATCGAGTCCCACATCGGGCTTCTTGCACGGCGGGAAGTCTGCTTCTCCCTCTGCCGGCCGCTCCCTCTGCTTGTGCTCTCTCTCTCTCTGTCAAATAAAATCTTAAAAAATTTTTTTTTTAATTTGTTACTGAAGTATAATTGACATACAATATCCTATTCGTTTCAGGTGCACATCATAATGTTTTTATACGTTACAAAATAATCTCTACTTATTATCTAGTTATCCATCATTCACCATACAAAGCTGTCACAGTATTACTGACTGTATTCTCTGTGCTGTATGTACATCACATCCTTATGACTTAGTTTATTTTATAATCGGAAGTTTGGACGTCTTAAATGCCCTTCACCTCTGTGACCCACCCCCCACCTGGTAACCAACAATGTTTCCTGAATCTATGAACCTGGTTTTGTTTGTTGTTTTTTTTAGATTCCACATAATAAGTGAAATTCATCTGTCTTATTTCACTTAGTGTAATGCACTCTAGGCCCAACCATGTAGCAAATGTCAAGATCTTTTTTTTTTTTTATTATCGCTGAGTAGTATTCCATTATGTATAACAGCACATCTTCTTTATCCATTCATTTATCTGTGGACACTTAAGTGCCTTTTCACTTTCATTTCTCTGTAATTGGTATAAGCCTTTTCATAACTAGATAACAACTAAATTACACATTGTTGTTGGAGTAATTCATAAATTTAACCTCTAAACTTCCTTTATGAAGTTTTGAGCTTTTTGCTTAATTTTTAAGAAAATGTTGGCTAGAATGCTACAGCTTTCCACTTATTAAAAAATCTTGTTGGTAACATTAACTCATCTTTACCCCAACGGGTGAGGGTCTAACCAGATTGGTTTGGCCCATCTGACTTGCTGATGGAAATGTAGATAGAATAATACCCACATATAGCTGTTCTGTTATCACTTTAAATTGTCAGCATTTATAGATCACAGGTGTCAACTCTGTAGGGCTTAGTCTGATATGAGGTTGCAGACTTTACATGGTGAGCTATTGCCTGGGGAGCCTTGTATCTGGGTCCTTGTGCTGGGGCCCTGGAGAGTGTGGGAGAAAGAAGCTCAGGTGATGGGCTGGGCATCCCAGTTGTTGTTCAGAATCCCCTAAGACATGCTTCTTCTTTTTTTTAAGATGTATTTATTTTAGAGAGCAGCACTAGTGGGGCAGGGGAGCAGGGGAGGGCAGAGGGAGAGGGAGAAGAGAATCTCCAGCAGACTCCCTGTTGAGTGTGGAGCTCGATGTGGGGCTCCATCCCCTGACCCTGAGATCATGAAGCTGAGCTGAAGTCCGACACTTAACCGAATGAGCCACCCAGGCACCCCAAGACATGCTTTTTCTCATTTGCCTGGGCCTTTTCAGGCAGCAAAATTAATTGCTTCCTCTCTCCCAAAGTTTGTTTCTTTGGCACTCTACCAGGTCTATTTTAGAAGATTGTAAGCTTTTCAAGGGAAGAGATGGTGCCCAAAGTTTTAGTCCTTCTGTCTCCAAAACCTAGTATAGGCTTACCTAAGAGCAGCTTAGAAAATGCTTACAAAATTGACGAAAGCAATAGAGTAAAAGGCTGCAAGTCCATTTTATTTCTATTCTCAGAAATACAGGTAAGCCCTTACCTCATCCTTGTTGGGTTTTGTTTTGGGAGGCAGGGCATATAAAGAGGTTCCCTTCTGTGTGGGTATCAAGGAACTAATCAAAACTTCAGCTTCCCAGAAAGTACTTCAGTCTCAAACAGCATACCCCACTTGATTTCAAATAGTTTTGCTAAAAAAAAAATACTCTTTTAAAATCTGAATCTGGGGTCAGAAATTGGAAGTTTGTGACTTTTTGGATTGTCTCATATAATACTTTAAAAAAAAAATCTCTGGGCAGTTCATCAGTGTCCCATAGTGGTGAGGTTCCTGGGGCTCAGTCATGGGGCAGCTAGATAGTTGCTGGCTGCCTGAGTGCACCCCCCTAGGCAGGAGTAGGATCAGCTTTTACTTCCTAACTGCGTGTAGCAGGTTCTTTCCTTGCTTTTTACTCCCAAGAGGTATTTTGCCGTCCTTAAAACTTTTTTCAAGTCAATTTTGTTATACTTTTTTTTTTTTTTTTAAGATTTTTATTTATTTGTGTGAGAGAGAGAATGAGCAAGAGGAAGGGGCAGAGGGCGAGGGAGAAGCAGGGAACCCAATGTGGAGTTTGATCCCAGGACTCTGAGATCATGACCTGAGCTGAAGGCAGGTGCTTAGCCAACTGAGCCACCCAGGCGCCCCTATACTTCTCTGTCTTATATGTAGTCATAGTCTTCTGGACTATTAGAGATCAGAACCCTTCACGATGTTTGGGTCACAGACCAAGGGAGCTTTTGTAATTGATAAGCATGTCCATACACCAGTGTGAAGAACTACATGTCTGTGTTGGGCCAGGGCGTTTCTCTAATCTGTTAATACTGTGAAGGGGTCTTGAACCTCCACAGTATAGGAGTCCTCTGTCCTGGGATGTTCATTTCTGACACTGTCATTGCCCAGTGTCAGCCTCCAGAGAAGAGTCCTCAGGCACAAACCTGGTATCCCTGAAAGCAGCTCTGCCATCAGACTAGTCACACTCACCTAGCTACCTGGAAGAAGCCTGCGGGGAGCCTCTACTTCTAGAGCACTTGCGGATTGTGTGTGTTCCGGCTTCCTTTCAATAAAACGTAAGTTTTCTTAGTAGCCAAGTTTTAGACTATTGATACCACTGAAAATGAAACTCATTTAACCCTGAGAAGTGAGATCCTTAAAGGGTATGCAGAGTTTTGCCAGTTTTTAAGACTTCTGGATACTTCGATCCTGAGAAGGACTCTTCGGATGTGTGTGCTATGACAGACTTGAGTGGTGTTGAAGGCCGTCCCTTCTCTATTGAAGGCCACCCTGGGAAGCCACTGGAAAGAGTCATGGGGACTTCCCAGCAGTTCTTTTGTCTCTTGCCTGAAGTTTTTGCGTGTAATAGAGGCTGGCAAACATTAAGCAACATGGCTAGGCCACATACCAAACAAACAAACAAACAAAAAACCCCTGATATTGAGCCATGCACCTGAAAGTGTCGTAGTTCTGCCTAGAATAGATCCTGAGCTCTGAAATTAGAGTTTAGGTGGGTTTTAAAGCTAGCTAGCAAGTAGAAATGAATCACCTGGCATTGTTGGCATCTTGAGACTGGACAGTGAAGGTAACTTAGGACATAATTTCTTTAGAGTAAGATTTAAGAGGCGTCTGGCTGGCTCAGTCGGTGAAGTGTCCACCTTTGGCTCAGGTCATGATCTCAGGGTCCTGGGATCGAGCCCTTGGTGGGGAGTCTGCTTTTCTCTCCCCCTCTGCCCCTCCCCATGCTCATTCTCTCTCTCTGTCTCTCAAATAAATAAATAAAATCTTTAAAAAAAATAAAGTAAGATTTAAAAAAATTATATACTGCAGTTTTGAGGCAGATACATCTCTGTGGTCTATCCAACTCTTATTTTTTTGGTCTGAGAAAAGAAATGAGCATTGTTCTCTGACAGGTGGTATTTATCACACAGTTGCAGTGTATGATTTTTCTTCAGATTCAAATACAAATATACTGAGCAAACAATCTCAGGGATCTAACAGTCATCCCTAGGCAGCTACTAGCAGCCTTTGTGGCAGACCAGCTTTATCCATTAGCGAGCAGTAATTTACAAAGGGCAGCAGCTCACTCAGGAAGGGTGTCATTACTAGCACTGTCAGAGGTAATATTTCCAAGCCGTTGTCTTAAGGAGAAAGAGGAGTGATTAACGAGGAAGCTCTCATTATTGGCTCACAGAAAGAATTTGTCAACTTAATTTCTTGGCCCATTATTCCTAAGAACATTTTTATCCAAGAAGGAAAATGGCAGTACGGAAGGTGACTGGATTTGAAATGTGAACGAGAAGGTAGGAAAACAAGCATACTTGCCTTTGAAGAAGTGCTTTTCTGTGCATTATGTCCAATCTTGGCAAGCTCTAAGGTAATGGAAAAGCCACTCCTGTGGTGAAAGGAGATGTGATTTTAAAGCGGCAAGTATTTGGAAGTATTAAAACAAATTCAGCCTGTCAGATGAATGGAGCTACCTTTTCCCCTTTATCCACTAGAGAGAGAAAAAGCCAGAAAAGCTGATTCTGACCCCCCAGGCCAGACTGTTGCCCGGTGCTCAGGATGAGTACATCACATGCCAACACCTTGTGTCAAAGACCGTACTTGCAGCAGCCCGGGCTGTGGCAGCTTCTTGGCTGCCATAGTCTTGGTCTGTTCTATGGGAAATTGGAAAGATGGCTTAGGGGATTTTCTTTTCCTTTGGAGTAATGATGGTTTCTTTCTTTTTTTTTTTTTTAAAGATATTATTTATTTATTTATTTGACAGAGAGATAGCACAAGTAGGCAGAGTGGCAGGCAGAGGGAGAGGGAGAAGCAGGCTCTCCGCCGAGCAGGGAGCCTGATGCGGGGCTCGATCCCAGGAGCCCGGGACCATGACCCGAGCTGAAGGCAGCTGCTCAACCAACTGAGCCACCCAGGTGCCCCAATGATGGTTTCTTTAGGTGATACTGCATTCTCCCAAAAGGGGAAAGACTTGTTATATTTTGCTTTTCCTGAGGAATTTTGCTGTTTCATTCCTCAAAAAGACTGGAGTGACAGGCTTAGCTAGGAAATAGGTCATACCTTGAAAACTCTTATTACTAAAAAGACTCTCAGATTGATTCACTTGCACTGCTAAATGTTAAGGAAATCCATTCAAATACAAGGTGACAGCCAACATGATTTCTTCGCACCCAGCTTAAAAGTTGTCTAAAGCTAAGTTTAAATTTACCAAAGGTGCTAGAGAGCACCCAGAAAGAATATATCTGCTTCAGTTCGCCACTATTTGAAGACATGCATTTACAGTTTCTAATAGTGTGAAATCCAGGAATACATAACCTTCACATCTCCTAAATATCCTGAGTCAATGTGAAATCTTGTGAATTACTACCTGGATTCAACTGATTTTAATTTAGAAGAGTGTTGTGTGATTCTGCTTTTAGAACCCTTCACTGAAGAGCATGCCATGAAGAAAGTTATATTTCAGGTGTTTCTGTTATTACTTTAAATTGTCAGCATTTATAGATCACAGGTGTCAAGACAAAAAAATTAGGCTCTAGGTCCCAAATAGATGGCATGTTCAATGTTTTGTTGAATTTTCTGTATGTACTAAAATAATAATTTGAGTCTACTTTCCATCTAGGTAGATAAATATTGTATTACTGCTGTATTTTATTTTGTAAAAGATTTTATTTATTTGAGAGAGCGAGAGAGAGCACACAAGCCGGGGGAGAGGCAGAGGGAGAGGAAGAAGCAGACTCCCCACTGAGCAGGGAGCCCCATGTAGGACTCAGTCCTGGGACTCCAGCACCATGACCTTAGTGGAAGGCAGAAACTTAATTGACTGAGCCACCCAGGCACCCTTCATGCTGTATTTTAATTTATAAATTAGATTTGCTGGACTACATAGCTAAATAACCTTTTCTTTTTTTTCCCCCAGCATCAAAGCTGAGGCAGAAGATTCATCACATTTTCCAGCATCAGCTACAGGCTTAGGAAGGAGGCTGGGATGAATGTGACATGGACCACAGCAGCTCTCTTAAGATTCCTGGTATTTCCAACATGTAGGAAAGAGGCAGTTGGAATGACAATCTTGTCTAGTTTGGAGTTTTAAAAGGTCTCATTCTTCCAGTAGCTATCATTGTAAAAGTGTGCATGGATATTTATGTATTTATAAATCATGCCCTCTTTTTTTATTTTCACTTTTTGAATGTCAAACTTTTTGTTAAAAATGCTTTTTTTTTTTTTTTTATGTTGTTGTAATAATTGCCGGTAGTGAATTTTACAATTTGGACTTTTCAATAATGTATTTTCAAGTCTGATTCTGTTTTATGGTCTTTTCCCCTCCCCGCACTGAGGCAAACCAGCCTTATTTCTTTTTTTTTAAGATTTTATTTATTTGAGAGAAAGAGAGCATGAGAAGGGGGGAGGGGCACAGGGAGAGGGATAAGCAGACTCCCTGCTAAGCAGGGAGCCCGACTCAGGGCTTGATCCCAGGACCTTGAGATCATGACTCGAGCCGAAGGCATACACTTCACCGACTGAGCCACCTAGGCGCCCTTATTTCCTTATTTCTTTCTGAAGTTTATGCCGTCTTTATGGCCACTGCCACACACACTCATCTTTTTTTAAGAGATGAGTGAGAATCAAATCATAGGCCTCAGGTACCTACCAGCTCATGGGAAGAGGTGGCTTGTGAAAGGGCATCTGGCCTTATTTTAAAATGGACACCAGATGCCACAGCTTGATCCAGGCAGCCTAGTTGATTTATAGATTTTCTAGAAGGTCTCCTAGATAGCTGAGTAAAGCCCACATTCTCTTTTTCTGCAGGGATTCTGAGGGTTTTGGTCTTCTAGACTTAAGGATTGCTTTGCCCATAGCCCCCGAAGAAATATTTGTGTAATGCAATGCTGTTTTGCTCTGAAATTCTGTTTTCCCCACTTAGTTAATATATCTGTTCTTTATCCCCTCCCTCTTCCACTCATCCATTTTAAAATTTTTTTAAAGATTTTATTTATGTATTTGAGAGAGACAGCGAGAGAGGGAACACAAGCAGAGGGAGTGGGAGAGGGAGAAGCAGGCTTCCCGCTGAGCAGGGAGCCCGATGCAGGGCTCGATCCCAGGACCCTGGGACCATGACCTGAGCCGAAGGCAGACACCTAACGACTGAGCCACCCAGTCGCCCCATAAAAATTTTTTTTTTTAAAGATTTTTTTTAGGGGCGCCTGGGTGGCTCAGTCATTAAGCGTCTGCCTTCGGCTCAGGTCATGATCCCAGGGTCCTGGGATCGAGCCCCGCATCGGGCTCCCTGCTCAGCGGGAGGCCTGCTTCTCCCTCTCCCACTCCCTCTGCTTGTGTTCCCTCTCTCGCTGTGTCTCTCTGTCAAATAAATAAAATCTTAAAAACAAAAACAAAAACAAAAAAATACAAAAAAAAAAAAAAGATTTTTTTTATTTGTTAGAGCACAAGCAGGAGGAGCTGCAGGCAGAGGGAGAAGCAGGCTCCCTGCTGAGCGAGGAGCCCGATATGGGACTTGATCCCAGGACCCTGGAATCATGACCTGAGCCGAAGGCAGATGCTTCACCGACTGAACCACCCAGGCGCCCCTAAGATTTTATTTTTAAGTAATCTCTTCATCCAACTTGGGGCTCCAACTTACGACATTGAGATCAAGAGTTGCATGCACTACCAACTGAGCCAGCCAGGAGCCCTCTATTTCTTATTTAGTACCCACCATTAAGAACTTACCTCCAGGCATAAATATTGAGAGAGGGACTTCATTTGGGGTCAGCAATATAACAGTCACAGCAGAATTCACTCATCACTGGGCTTGGTATTTGGGGTAATGGTGAATAAGGCAGTGGACCCTGTCTTAGCTGAACCTACCAGTAAACCCAGGTAATTAAAAAAACCAGGAATGCTGAAGAGGAGAGCTGGCTGTGGGAGCATGATGCTGGGAACAGACAAGTGGGATGACTCTCACCCACTGCTCAAGCCTAAGGACAAGCATCACACCTTGGATGAGCACATCTCTCTGCAGCTTCTGGGTCTAATCTGTAGCAATCACTAGGGTGGACCACGTGAGGTCAAGATCTCTGATACAACTGGGCAAACCATTTCTCTCCCTAGCCTTACCTGGGAAATGGAGGTCATAGAAATACCTAGCACAAAGAGCTGTGGCAAAGACGAAGATGTTACAGGGGTAAGCTAGTGCTCAGTGAGCCTTAGCCTCTTCCTCACATGTGGCCTAGCCTCTTTCTATTCTGGTTACCTATACAAATTTGTGAGGCTTAAAAACCAAATTTACAAATTGGGAAATATCAGAGTGGGGATGTTCACTTCTAAAATGCATCTTTCACAGGTTTCTCATCACAGATCCTATTTTCTTTGTAAGATATAATGCCCTTTAAAAATAATAACATCCTGTCAGGAACGTAAATCCATTTCAGAAAGCAAGCTTAAATTGTGCACTGATTGCATGTTCCCCTCCCCCATTCTTCTTCACTGTATTTTTGAAGACTTCTCTAGTTAGTCAAAAGCAAATTTTCTGATAACCATTTTCTAATGGGTTTTCTTATCATTTCCTCAGCTTAAATTGTCTGTTTTTCTTCTCATCTTTAAAACCTTTGTAGCTATCTGATCTATAAAATTAAGCGGTATTTTAGAATTTCATCCTTTGTTTTTCTGGGAGAGAAAGTGGCACAGAAATCTAAATTTTTGCATTGCAGCAGTCCTTGTAGTGTAGGCAGAATGGCCCACTCTTAATGGTGAAACTGCAGCTCACTACAAGATTACTGGCCTTGGTATATGCAGTGCTGTCCAACACGGGGTAAGGATCAAATGAGATCATAGGAAGGGACATGGTAAACTGTTACCTTCAAATAACAACTAGAGAGCATCTTTTCTGTTAAAGACTTAAGTCTCAAGACCTTGTGAGAAGCAAGTACTAACAGTACAGTTTAGGGTGCTCAATTAACCGTGATACCCTTTTATATTACCCAGAAAATTGCTTTTTACAATATTCATTAGAGTCTATAGCCCACCTGATGAATTGTCTACCATTGCAGAGGCAAGGAATTTCCAGGATCCATGTGGACCTGAGGGCTTACCTATTCCATGGGCACTGGGAGGATTCATTATCACTGCCCATCCTCTGAGGCTTTGCTATTTGTAGTAAACGGCACTGAAAATACACATTGTCGCATCTGAAATGAGATTTATATTCTTTTTTTTTTTAAAGATTTAATTGATTTATTTGACAGAGAGACACAGTGAGAGAGGGAACACAAGCAGGGGGAGTGGGAGAGGGAGAAGCAGGCTTCTCGCGGAGCAGGGAGCCCGATGCGGGGCTCGATCCCAGGACCTGGAATCATGACCCGAGCCGAAGGCAGACGCCCAACGACTGAGCCACCCAGGTGCCCCGAGATTTATATTATTCTAAATGTCAGGTAACTCAGTGTTTCTCTGCTGCTCAGCACTAAAGTCTCTGCTGGGTCCCCTTTTGTCTGGAAAGAGACTCAACTTCTGGAGTCTGAGGACCGTAGTCTAGGTATCATGTCATCTAGTCATGGCTCTCATCCTCGACTAGTTAAGAGACACCTTTTGGTTCTGTAGGAAGTAAGACTAAACACAAATCTTAAGAGGCAAGAGTTTTAGAACTTAAAAAGATTGTAGTCATGGAAATTGCCTCCTTTAACGAATGCTGAATGCACACTAAAAAAAATCTGCCCTCATGGAGATTATATATATATATATTTATATATATAAAAAATAAATAAAAGATATGTATTACATATATAATATACATATTATATATAAAAAGTTTTTTTTTTTTTTAAGATTTTATTTATTATTTATTTGACAGAGAGAGATAGGCAGAGAGGGAACACAAGCAGGGGGAGTGAGAGAGGGAGAAGCAGGCTTCCTGCAGAGCGGAGAGCCCGATGCGGGGCTCGATCCCAGGACCCCGGGACCATGACCTGAGCCGAAGGCAGACGCTTAACGACTGAGCCACCCAGGCGCCCCTATATATAAAAAGTTTTATACACACACACACCCCTTGGGGAAGAAGAATCTCTCTGGGCTTGGTTTTCATTAAAATAAAGAGCAAGCAAGTGAAAGAGGCTATTTATTCATTAAGTGAAAAGCAAGCCAGATGAGGTTCTGTTTCTTCCCCGAAGTTTACTCTAGTCCTTCCAAGTTAGGACTCTCAGGTCTAGGGGTGGCAGTGTGTTGGCTGCCTTTCTCATTTTGGTTTAGTTTTTCTCACAATGCCAAGCATTAGGGGCAGAGTCCTTTGCATATGTGCTTTTTTCAGGGAGGGAGGTGGGCCTGAAGCTTTGCCCACAGACAAGAGAACCAGCTGAGGAGGTGGGGGTAACAAGAATACATCACCTGAACAGATTCCCTTGGGAATCAAAAAAGAAAAGTAAAAATTGAGACTATTAAGTTCCCGTTAGACAGAGCTATAATTCTTAGCATATCCTAGGCATGGACATGTGAACCAGAACTTTTTTCCTTGACAGTGCTCTCAGGCAAGGAGGGCTCTTTAGACATAACCCAGGTGGTCCCAGCCCAAGTCCCATCCTTCTTTCCCAGCCTAGGAAGAGTAGGCAGATGACCCCAAAATAGCCTTGATTATGGTCTTCCAACCTATTTGCCTGGGAGACATGCTGTTAGGGCATCTTGAGGCAGGTCTTGGTCTTCCCCTGGTTTAGTGAAAGGGTGATTAACAGTAAGGAGGTCGGGGCGCCTGGGTGGCTCAGTTGGTTAAGCGACTGCCTTCGGCTCAGGTCATGATCCCGGAGTCCTGGGATCGAGTCCCACATCGGGCTCCCGGCTCAGCGGGGAGCCTGCTTCTCCCTCAGACCCTCTCCCCTCTCATGCTGTTTCTCTCTCTCTCTTTCTCTCAAATAAATAAAATCTTTAAAAAAAACCCCAAAAAACAGTAAGGAGGTCAAGCTTGAACTGTTCGGGCCTGCTGACTAAAAGCCCTTGCTTTGCTGTGGATCCTAGCACCAAAATCTCACTGCTGGGGCTGCATTTTCCTGTCTCTTTGATATCTTCTCATATTAAGAATATTTAACTGAACCTAGATGTAAACTGGTAGATAATTCCTTCCTCCTGATTTACTTCACATCAGTGTAGGGATCTTCACAGTGGGGGATGATTCTTACTTTGATCTTTATTGGAGGCTTCAGTGGAAAAATTTCTTTAAGTACCTGGCACTTCGTGAGCTTTCCCTGCTTCATTCCTACCCTACTCTCCCTTTGAGGCCAAGCTGGGAAAACAAAATGTTTCAACTAACTTACACAAAAGAAAAATGAGCACCCACAGTGACCCCCACAAGACCAGGCTCCATCCCCAGAGCTGCAGAAAGGCAGACCAAATCAGTTCCAGTTGCATAGTGCCAAACATGTGAGTTGGCACCCATTAAGTACTCAGTAGCTATGCTGACAAAATGAATGGCAGCAGGCACTGAACGATGCAGCCTTAATCAAATGCCTGGCGGTCCCAGAGAGGGAGGTAGAAGCAAAACCTCCAGGCGTGCCTGGGTAGCTCAGTCAGTTTAGTCTGCCTTTGGCTTGGGTCATGATCTCAGGGGCCTGGGATCGAGTCCCGTGTCGGGCTCCTTGCTCAGTGGGGAGCCTGATTCTCCTTCTCCCTCTGCTGCTCCCCCTGCTTGTGCTTTCTCATTCTCTCTCTCTCAAAAAAAAAAAAAAAAAAAAATCTAAAAAATAAAAATAACAAAACCTCCAGGATGGGGATTGGGGGTCAGCAGGTGGCCAGAGCTTATAGGTCCACTGGAGTCCACTAACACTAGGTGCCTTGGAACTCCTGTACTCCTGCATCTAGGGTCTGGGGCTTGTGAAGGCTGTGGATGTGCTCCCCTCTCCATGAACATGGCCTTTGCCCTAGCACTGGCATGGCAGGCTTGCCTGAGTCTCACCTTGTAAACCGTTGAGACTTTATCACTCTGTGAATTGTGGACCCCAGCTGACTGGGAACTGTTGGACTTGGTCCATCACCTACAGTCCCACTTCCCCTTAAACCACTTGTTTTCAGCTTCTCAGGTGGTGAGACAATGACTCATGCTTCCTTCTACCTTTGTGTTTACCAAATTATTTTTTATGACTACATTCTACTTTTATAAAAACCAGAAACCTGCTAATCAGTGTCTCCAGAGGATTTGGAGCTTGGACCCTGGAGGTCCTCTGCTGTCCTACTGGCCTCCTGTCCAGGCCTGTGCATGTACTGCCAGAGGCTGTCTGGAAAGGAGGTTTCCTAGTATTTGGATTTACATTCCAGTCTTTGGAACTGTATTTGTATTGTTGCTCTTCCAGCCTGATCCGTCAGACTTGGTCTTGAGAAGGTGCCATGGGGATTGTGCTGTTCTCAAGCTGCTCAGTGCAAAATAATATACAGCCCATCAAAGAACCAATGTGTAAGGGCTAACAAAAGCCAGGGTGGGGAACTTTCTCCCTGAACAGACGGGTTCATCAGCCTCACCACCATCAGGCCCCAGTAACTGCCCTCACTGATCTTGTTGGCTTGCAAAAGATCCCTTGTGCCCACCCCTGGGATTGACATCGTCTTCATTCTAAAGGCAGCCTTTCAACTCTTCTGGTAAGTCTCGACCTGAAACCACAGCCTTACATGCTCATGCAGGTACAGGTCTATAACCACAGCCTGCTAAAACACAGCAGGGATTACAATCCAGCTTTTCTTTGGAGGTGATATTCCAAGCTTTTGGCTGAAGCTGATATGGACTAGAATCTCTGATTTCTTTTCCTATGCTCTGCCCAGGATGTTATCAGGACAAGAAGCTTCCAGTTCCTTGTGGTCTTTGTACTCACACCACCACAGTAACATAATATCTCCCAACTCAGTTTTGTAAAGTGACTATACAGAGGCCAAATTGCTGCAAACCTCTCTTTGACATTCTCTTATTCAGGAGTGCAGCCGGTCCAACTCAGTGGTGGGCTGTGCTATTCTTGGCAGAATGCTTTGTTTGTAAAGGGGGAAGGGAAAGGGCAACTTACACCTCAGGCTTCAGACAGGAAGCAGCATAAAGAGGTCTGCTTTAAGTGCTCTTAATGTTTGCATTTTGGCAGCCTTCAAGACACCACAGAACCCCTCCGCATTCCAGGAATAATGACAACTAAATGGTACAGGTTGATGGAGCCAGAGATCCTTTTATAGATAGGCTCTGATCCCCTCCAGACCAAGTACCCAACCCAGTGGCTTTAAGGATCGCAGTCTTCCAGGTAGGGGTTTAGAAAGCTCCCCCCAAAAGACTACAGAAGCATCATACTTGTAAACCAAGACTGTCACCATATAAAGACCTCTCTAACCAGCTAAAAGGTTATTTGCTGTCAGCAGAATACACTCTCTAGTCTTCTCATACATATTATTCTATGAGTGACTGATAAACAAAAGCATCATGTGGCCAAGCTTTACCACTCAAGTCAATGGCAGTTCCTGAAAGTCAGTCCATGCAGGCTTTTCACCCAAGGCTGAAACCTCCATCTGCCAAAGAGGAAGCCTGGAGCCCTTCCTTCCAGGGTTCTTGATTTCAACCAGCAAGGAGCTAATGTTGCTGAGCTTGTGATGAGTCATATACTAAAAAGGTTTGCAAAAGGCACAGCTCATTTGTCTTTCTGGCCCAACTGAAAAAAAAAAAAAAAGCCCTAGCCCATGCTATGAATAGGAAATGTAAAAACCTCAAGACGTTATTAACAAAATTGTTTTAAACCAATGCAGCTGGGGCTGGGGTGAGGTGGAGAAATTACTGAAAGAGGAATGGCACACACATTTGTATATTCTTTTTCAAAGGACAGAAAACAACAACAATAAGAGTTTCTCTTTCCTCCATGTCATATACTTGAATAACTAAAGAAAACTAATCTTTATTCCTATCTGACAGCAGTTGTTTTTTCCTAACTAGATGGGAACTGAAGTAACAGAGCTACCATCTTGGCACAAGGCCCTTGCCCTATGGACAATTTCATTTACCTTTAATAGCTTTGCAACTACTGACTTTTCTATTTACATAATAATCCCCACATAACTGAGATTCCTCTGGGACTCTGCATTATGAAATGCAACAGAAAGGAATTGTAATAAATACCACCAAGACCTAAAAAGTTGATCCCTATCTCTTAAAACTTGGGAGAACTGAGAGCTCAAAATACCTCAGACATAACTCTTAAATTGTATTATATGAGCCCTAGGGTTCTTTCTTCAGAGTACTAAATGAATCAATTAAGTAGACAGGTACTTTGTTTACTAAGCACAAAATACAGTTACTAAATAAGGCACCTTTAATAGATTTCTTTTTCACTACCTTCTACCTACCTACAGGAGTAAGAATTTTTAGATCAGTTTCAGAAGTTATTCACGGAACTTTTACTGGGGTGTGTGGGGGTACTGACTCAAGAATATTTCCATGAAGGGGAAAAAAATCTGGTCTATTGATAAGTCATAGGTCATAGTCCTTTATATCGGAGACCAGAAGGTGTTCCTATAACCAAAAAAAATAGAAGTAGAAAATGGTGGTCAAGAAAACTTCTTCACTCGATAGATACGAGTCTGTGCCCAAGTCTAAATCAACTCAAGTATTTTTAAAAATGAGAGGGACGTATTTAAGTCTAACAGGTTTTCTAAAACTGAACTCAATACCTTATTATTTCTGAGGGATAGTCTACTTCTTGGCTAAAAGACCAGGTTGCCCAGGTACAAATCCCAGCTCTATCACCAGCTAGCTTGCTGATCTTCAACAAATCACTCACTTCATCTCTGTATCTAGATTCCTCATCTGTAATATAATGGTACCTACCTCACAGGATTACTGTATGAAATGGGATCATAGATGTTACGGTGCTTCAAATAGTGCCACGCACAGTGAGCATTCTACGTCAGAAGTACTGTTACAGAGGAAGTGCATCACAAATGCATTTAAACTTTAGCATGAATCCAACTTCATGCCGAAATAAATGACTTAGTTCTAGCCTCCTGCTATACCACACACATTTATAAAATTTACCTAGTGTAAAAGTAAACATTTTTGTATGGTGTAACCTTGTAAATTGAAGGTTTACATCTAGTACTCAACCAAAGAAATAGGAATCTGTTCCAAGGCTGCAGAAAAAAAACGGAGGAGTAACTGGGAGAGGAATCTTCCTAAGAATTTTCTCCAATGGGAATGTGGACGAGATAGGAGTTTTATGCATGTGTTGAACTTAGGACTTTGAGCTCAGAGACTCCCTGCAAACTGAGATGTGACCCCCTTATAATTATCAACTTGAAATATACAGATTAAGATAAAAATAGATTTTGAAGCAGTAACCAAATAGCATTTAATGAAGTAAGAGGGGAGACTCTCATACCTACTGTTATATTTAAGAGTCAGTCACTGGAGTAAATGTCTACAGAAACTACACTTTGTCTCAGAGCTGAATATGAAAGCATCACATTTAGTACAACCAAAAAGTACCCATAAGCATCTTTCTGGCCATTAATTCCAGTGAGTGGACTCTTATTTGTATAAAAAGCTTCCTAAGATCATACACTTACCCCAAAATTTGCCAAGTAATAACTTAAAGGGAAACATCAGCACTTACCCTTCCAGTGTTAAACTTGGCCTAAAAAATAGAAGCTGCAGACACTGCGATCCTAGTCTTCCAACAGAGAAACTGTTAGCTTACTAAGCTAGTAAGAATAGGACAAGAAACTACTGGGGTTACTCAAATAGCTGTTTTAACTACTAGAAAGACTACACAGGTGTTTCAACAGAATTTACTTGTATATTTTCCATTTTCTGTACTATTTGAAGGCATAGGATAGCTTTGTATTAGCTTTCTACAATACTGTGTTTTAAATTTATCCAGTAAACTAAGATGCAGTACAACTTTTATACAACTTAGGAGATTAAAAAAAAGAAAAATCTCCACAAGAGAAAGCAACTCAGCAGGCCCTGGTATTAAAACATTTTTCCAGAATAAACAGATACGCAATTGCATTAAAAGGCAGTTTTCAAATATTTTAAGTTACACCAAGATCCCTTCCAAATATCTGCCTTGCTAAACCAATGCAACCAACTCTTACTCAGTGTTAATAGTGGGGCATGGATTTTGGTAAATGTTTACGGTTTTACTTTCTTCATTATCAAAAATCTTTTAAAGTGCTATCAAGCAGCAAATAAGTTGCATTAGCTCTCTGCTCCCGGTAGAGGTGCCAATTGCTCATGGTAGAGGTACAAACTGTGAAATTGCAAAAGGTACAGTTTAACAGTAAGTAGTGCATGAAGAAACAGTAACAAGTGGCCTAAATACAGAGTTGGACAGAATCAAACCAGTTAGGTCTATAATTGCTCAAGTGAAATGGATTTAGTTTCATTCAAACATTTAAAATAAAGTCGGAAATTATAATTGGTGGTTAGAATCAAATTTGAAGAATTTCTTGATAAAATATAAATCTGTTCTTTTGAAACTGGAAATAAACTATCAATTGATGGAGAGCTAGAGACTTATTAACCCCTCCTACACAGATAAGGAAATAAGTGACAAAGTCTCTTGCACTGAAGTTATGTATTTTAACAGCTTTACATGTAATATTCATATATAAAAAACTTTAAGTGCTTTTCTCCAATTTAAAAATCTAAAGAATTCAAAAATAAGGCATTCAATATTTGAAAAAAGTACAGATTTACAAAATGTGTATTATTCTGTCATGAAAACTCCACACCAACATTATACACTTGGAAAAAAATACAAACAGGATATATTACAAATTTATGTAAGCAATAACTTAGTTCACACCATGCAATAAAAAGTACATTAATCAAGATACACAAGCTTTTGTAGGTTCTAAACTGAAGGACTTTTTTTTTCTCTGCAGAATCCTTAAAACCTGTGGCACTTAAAATTTGTTAGCCTTTCTACTGAGAGGTAAATTATACACAACAATGATGAAAAAATTAACAGACCAGTTGTCTATTATGAATCATTCCAGCTTTGTTCAACAATGGCCGAAACTCTTTTCTCATATTCTCGTTTGTTTTCCTGATAAAGCTGTGCTGCTTGGCTATTGGCTGGACTGTTTGGATTCGGTTCATCCAGCAGAGACTGGAAGGAAAGAGAAAAGAAAAAAGGATTTGTAGAGTTACTCTTTACATTAACATGGGTCTAGATATGGAACAGAGAGACTGTACAAAAGAACAAATTACTCAGTAAAGAAATGGCAGATATTAGTATGTAACTTCTATATTTTTAGGTCTTAAATACTTTCAGAAATGGCTTGATGAATTTAATAATTTCCTGCTGCTAGAGAACTGAAGCTTCTAAAACACAGAGTACTCAACTGCCTTAAGACCTCTAATTTCAAAGAAATTGGGAAAGAATATTCTTCAACATACTGAAACATTGGCCAAGAAATAAACAGCTCGATTTGGTTAAATATACAATACCTAGAAATAGCATTTTCCAAAGTTAAACTCTATTTTGTGGTTTGCAAATGTCTGACATAAGTTGGGTAGTGAGTCTTGTTTCCTTCTATCAAGAAAACATATACATCCAGCAGCAAGGGAATAAAATAGGGAAGTTGAAAACAATGCTTATAAAATGACCTGAATTAAAGAAGAAATGTGATAGGAAAGGCTTAAAAAGAAGGTCACAAACCCAAATTTTACTTCTGCTCCTCATAAATTAAACATCCACATAAACTAAAACATCCCTCACTCCACCTCTCTCCAAAACTGTCATTCAAGGTCAACTCTGAAATAATCTGCCACAGTGTTTTGGCAAATGGTTACACTACCTTTTTTTAAAATAGGATTTCTTGGATAGGGTGACATACTTAATGGTTCTCTGCACTTGGCAGTTTCCTGAGGTCCCTATGGTTTTTCTAAGCAATCATCTTTCTATTTCCAAGAAGCATTTTCCTTTTCTACATCCTCTGGTTATGCTTCATGGGAATAAATAATACCTGACCTGTGAGCACACTTTGTTTACATAAGGATCAGGAAACTGTGTGTTTGATCCAATGTGGTCACTAACAAAAAGCAGACCAGTTGTCTGAAAACCACAGGATTTTATCCAGGCTGTGCCATTGGTTACCTGCTACTGCTCCTAAAGGAGCTGACTGTATCCCATAGAATCTTGAAAAATCATGATGCAACCTAACACACACTTACCTGAATTGATGTTAAGATAGAAGATACATCGTATGTTGGACTCCATCGATTCTGAAGGATATCTAAACATATGCTACCATCAGCATACACTGCAAAGACAACACTAAAATTGGTTACCTATTAACTTCATCATATTTAACAGTTGAAAGAGAAATCTTTACCACAAACAGAATGCTTGGCCCAGTCAGAAGTTCTGAACATTAATTACCAAACCCTCTTGTCTCACAGGAAAACCAGTGTTAAAACTAAGGTCTCTTATTTTGCACCTTTTCATCAGGAAGCTTTGTCAGAGCTAAATTTTTTCAACACCCACCTTTATACCCAATCTGTTTAAAGCATCTATTTCTAAACTCCTCAAATAAAGCTCTTGAAAAAAAAAAAAACTTATTTTTTGACATCGTAATTACTCTCCCAGAAATTATTCCTACAAGAAATAAATGTGGACACATGAAGTTTTATTTATAGGAAGTTCACTATAATACTGTTTATAAGCGTGTAAAATTAGACCTTGTGGTCCATAAAGAGATGACTGGCTAAATTAACAGTATATTCATATAACCAATACCAATGTAGCCAAGGGAGAAACGATACACATCTACCCTCTGTTAACTGATAAAGATCCATAATGTCTTAATAAGTTTTCAATTTTTAGAGGATAGTATTTTTTTACAAAATATTTAAATATTTTCATTTGAAGTATGTGTAGTTACAAAAACATTTGTTAAGACTAAATGCCAAAATATAAGTACTGGCTCTCTGTAAGTAATAGGATTCTTGTATTTTATGATTTTTTAAAAATTTTTTATTGTATGTTAATCACCATACATTACATCATTAGTTTTTGATGTAGTGTTCCATGATTCTTATGATTTGTTTTTAATGAGTATGCTTTCCTTTCATAATAAAAAAATAAAATAAAAATCCAATGATTAATATGTTTTAAGTCTTTAACATTTGGGAAGTCTTCTTTCCTCTTGAACTGATTATGTGAAAATACAATGAACATAAATGTTTACCCACTTGTGAGACTCTATGTCTACATGACAAATTTCCAGAAGTAGAACTGCTGTGTTGACAAAGGATAAATGCATTTAAATGTAATAGACACTGTTAAACTTTGGAAAGCTTCATGGAGCAAGCCTATCACCCTACATAAAGACAGGAATAAGTAAGGCTTTTGGGGGGAGGGGAGGCAAATTCTACTTAAATACTGTCGGTTTCTCAGGGCTCTCTCTATCCTCCATCCTCTTCCTTCTGGCCCTGTATACAGCCTCTGGGTGATGTTATTCACTCTCATGGCCTCAATGACCATCCATATGTGCTAGCTACTTCCACTTACTGGCTTTAGACCAGATTTAACTCTCTGCTTTAAAGCAGCCTAGTCAACGGCTTACTATCTATCCCACAGGAACATCAAACTTGGCAAGTCTAAAGAACAATTATCACCTCTGTAAAACCCATAAAAGTACAAAATGATTTTTAAGTTTTGAACTAGTAACTATTTCTAAGAAGTAATCCAAAAGTAAACTAGAAATCAAGCATCCATCAACTGGTGATAAAAAAAACAGAGTATGTATATTCATATAATGAAATTTCATTCAGCCATAAAAGGAAATAGAATACAGTTACAACATGGATGAACCCTGAAAACTATGCTAGCTGAAAGAAGTCAGTCACAAAAGCCAACATGCATTATAGGATTTCATTTATATGAAATGTCCAGAACAGGCAAATCTACAGAGGTAAGAAAATACGACTGCCTAGGGCTAGGGTGCTGGGAGAAAAGGGAGTGACTGCCAACTGTCATGGGATTTTTTGGGGAGAGATAAAAATATTCTAAAATTGATATGGTGATGGTTGCACAACTCCGTATACTAAGAACCCCTGAACTGTGTAATTTAAATGAATGAACAGCACAGTATGTGAATAGTATTTCAAATAAAAATGTTTAAAAAGTAGACCAGAAAGTTAATAAAAAAGTACTGGTAAAAGAAAAAAGGGTAACCACTGTTATTAATATGAAGGAATGAGAAATAACCTAATACACTGTTTCCCCAACGAAGAAAATACTATACCTACAAACATAGAACCCCCTGCACATTGTATAGTCTTTTCCACCTTCCTTCATTTACAGATCCTTCTTACTACATTGTGGGTCAATTCAATAACAAGTCTAAGATTAAACTAAAGTGGAATAAATATTAAGTGACTCCTTCTGCAAGTAAGTTAACTGATGGGGAAGACCATATTTAAATGAGCAAAGGTTACAAAAAGGAAAGCTTAAATATTTTGGAAAATAAGTCTTTCGTACAGTAATGTATTATCCAGGAATATACAATGTGTATTAGAAGTAAACAGGAAGTCATAGAAGAGCAAATTTAATTACAAAAGTCACTCAGAAACCATTTATGGAAAATAGGAATAAAATAAATTTCTCCAGGGGCGACTGGGTGGCTCAGTCAGTTAAGCATCTGCCTTCCGCTAAGGTCATGATCCGAGTCCTGGGATTGAGACCTGAATCGGGCTCCCTGCTCCTCGGGGAGCCTGCCCCTCCTTCTCCCTGCCACTCCCCCTGCTTGTGTTCTCTCCTTGTGTCAAAAAATAAATAAAATCTTTAATAAGTAAATAAATTTCTCCAAATGAAAGAACGAGAGAAAAAATGGAAAACTGTACTTAAAAAAGCCTTAAAAACATATGAATCTTTGACTCAGTAATCCCACTTCTAAAAACTTATGATAATATTCATGGGTATTTGGGAAGATTTTCAAGAATGTTCAAAGTGCTGTTTAAAATTACAAACGGGGGCGCCTGGGTGGCTCAGTTGGTTAAGCGACTGCCTTCGGCTCAGGTCATGGTCCTGGAGTCCCTGGATCGAGTCCCGCATCGGGCTCCCTGCTCGGCAGGGAGTCTGCTTCGCCCTCTGACCCTATCTCCTCTCATGTGTTCTCTCTCATTCTCTCTCTCTCAAATAAATAAATAAAATCTTAAAATAAAATAAAATAAAATAAAATAAAATTACAAACAGGGTGCCTGGGTGGCTCAGTTGGTTGGGCGACTGCCTTCAGCTCAGGTCATGATCCCAGGGTCCTGGGATCGAGTCCGACATCAGGCTCCCCCTGCTCTGCAAAGAGCCTGCTTCTCCCTCTGCCTCTGCCTGCCCCTCCCCCTGCTTGTGCTCTCTCTCTCTCTGTCAAATAAATAAATAAAATCTTTTTTTTTTTTAAAGATTTTATTTATTTATTTGAGACAGAGAGAATGAGAGACAGAGAGCATGAGAGGGAGGAGGGTCAGAGGGAGAAGCAGACTCCCTGCCGAGCAGGGAGTCCCGACTCGATCCCGGGACTCCAGGATCATGACCTGAGCCGAAGGCAGTCGCTTAACCAACTGAGCCACCCAGGCGCCCATAAATAAAATCTTTTAAAAAAATAAAATAAAATTACAAACAACTTGGGGCACCTGGGTGGCTCAGTTGGTTAAGCAACCGAATCTTGATTTTGGCTCAGGTCTTGCTTGATCTCAGGGTCACGAGATGGAGCCCCTCGGCAGGCTCCGCCTTGAACGTGGAGCCTGCTTAAGATTCTCTCTCCCCGCCCCCTTTGTATCCCCTCCCCCCGCACTTGCACTCTCTCTCAAAATAAAATAAAATCTTAAAAAAACCCTGAAAATCACCAACAACTGGACACAGATTAATTATGGTTACCTCACAGAACATGTATGCAGCCATTAAGAATGATACAAAAGAATATTCGTAAGATGTTCATAGTATATAAAAAGTTATGTAACTATGTACAATATGATCTCAATTTTGTACAGCATTTATTTGTAGTTTATTATTTTTGAAGATTTTATTTATTTGAGAGAGAGAGAAAGAGTGGGAGAGATCATAAGCAGGGGGGAAGGGTAAAGGGAGAAGACAACTCCCCACTGAGCAGGGAGCCCGATGCGGGACTTGATCCCAGGACCGTGGGATCATGACCTGAGCTGAAGGCAGACAGACCCTCAACCGACAGCCACCCAGGCGCCCTATTTTTTTTAAAAAGCTAAATCTTAAGCAACAAATTCTTTTTGGTATCCTTCACATTTCTACAAATGATTAGGTATTATTTTAAAATCAAAAGTATTAAGACAAAACAACTTTACCTGAAATTTGGAACCTTCTAAAGATTCCAGGCTACAAAAACGTAGCCAATACTGACATGGAAGCAACATCCAGTAGTGGCCTATAGCAGTGAGAAGTATGGGGCAAGGCCTACAAGGAAGGAAAGAACTCTTTTCCCCCCATCACTTACGAAGTTTAATAAATAAAATGTTACTTACCATTTGGATGGAACATTTTGGATAAAAACCTAACAGTTGGTGGTTTATTTGGATACTCTTCAGAAAATTCTATTACTAGTTTAAAAGTACCTAGATAGAAAACAAACCAAAATAATTATGGTAAAGACAAGCATTATTTTTTAATATCTTCATCAATGAATTCCCAACCCATAGTGGTTTTTGCACAACCACACAAAAAGTAATGTCAATTATGTCTTAGCACATAAAACGTATTAAATATACTTTGATTTACGTTAGACTGGTAACATACAGCACTGGCAAGCACTTGGGAACACACACTTTCATGTGCTATTGGTGGGAATGTTAAACTGCCATATTTTTGGAAGGCAATTTGGCCCTAGCTACTGAAATTTAAAATGCACATTTGGGGAACTACAGCTAAGTTTATTATAGCTTAGAAGGGGAATGCCAAAAGATTTTGAGAGGGGCTAACTACCACATGACAAAGGACTTAGATTGGAGGCATGGACATTAATTTGAAAGGTCTCTCTGTTCCCATACGAATCCTTTCACTTAAACATGCCAAGAACCAGTAAGTGTAACTGCCTACTGTTGGTTATAGACCAACATGGTACACTCTTGTAAAGCAGTATTTTATGGTCAGTACAGACACAGGCTTTTAAAAAAATTATGCATTTCTAAGAAAGTCAATCTGTTCACAGTGTACAAAGTAGGACTCTCAACTCCAATTCCAAATCTATTTTGCAGAAATAACCATTATTACTGGGTTTTGTACTTCTGTTTATTCACTATCCAGAGTTCTTTTATTTTGAGGAAGTCCACCTGAAGGTTGGAGAGGTATTCTAACTGCAACCCCTTGGACATACTCAGTAAATTCAGACTTATTCTTAAGGAAGTCAATAAAAGTTTAAACCATTCCAGATGTCTCTAGAAGGTTCTTCCCTGATTTCATCAATGCAGTTTTAAAAAACAAAAATCCTTCTATTTATTTTATCTGATAGTTTATATATTTGGTATACAACCTCTACCTTTTCACATTTTTTGCTGCTTGGAAATTTGGGATTAGGGAAGCCAAAGATACAAGCAAAATCAAATGTGGTATCTATTTCATATTCTGAATACATCAGAGGTGTTATGAAAAGTACAGTTAAATAGTGAAGATAGTCTTATATTCTTATATCTAATTATGTATTTTGAAAGTGTGCATTTTAATTTGCTTTAATTTAAAAAAGTACATTGTAAAAATTTCAGCCTACACACATATGAACAGCAATTTTCACGTTTTTTCCCGCCCACTTTATGGAGTCTCAGGACCCCTTTATACTCTTATTCCCAATCATGGCCAAGCTTCCAGTGGGAAGTCAACTGAATGCAAAGATGGGGAGGGATACGTGTGACAACATACCATTTTATATATTTCTACCAAAAATGGAAAATAATTTCATTTTTAAATATTGGCTCTTTAATAATTAGCTTGCAAAAATTCCCCTCAATTTTTAACAATCTGTTCTCATGAATCAGTACAAACTGCCTCCAGCATGCCACTGAATATAACTATCAGTATTTCTTATATTAGACAGTATTTAACTCATGAATTTTTTTTTTAAAGTAATTTCTATGCTCAATATGAGATTCTAACTCATGACCCTGAGATCAAGAGTCACATGCTCTACCAACTGAGCCAGCCAGGCGCCCCAACCCAGAAAATTTTTAAAAATTCATTCATTAATTACTGTAAACTCACTACACATTAACTTAAGTAACATTTAATGAAAAGTAATATATTTCCCCACAAAGTTAGTGAGAAGCTTAGCACTGTTTTACATTTCTGCAAATCTTTTTAATGACTGGCTTAATAGAAGACAGCTGGATTCTCTCAGCTGCTGCTGCATTCGATCTGTTGCAATATGCTGTTCTGGGATGAGGTACAGGAAGAAAACGAGGTCTCACAAAAATGTTAAGTGAAAAAGGAACATTTTAATAGTTTTTTCAGATAATTGTAGATACTCTTTTTTGATTACTACAGTAAGGAAGTGGTAGGTTTTTAAGGGTTAGTTGCAATGTAGAGTCTGAAAGCATACATATTTTTTGCATCACTTACACTAAAATCTGTTACACACTGCATAAATGTTTTATCCGTCCCTAATTTTCTTTTATACACTGGTCGTTCAGAAAATATTGGTTCAATGAATGATACAATTCTTGTAAATGTTGCCACATTTCATTATATACTATCCAAAAACAAATCACCATTTGGTAATACCACCTACTGATGTTATCAGAAGTCTTAAAGTACTGGGAAACCATTATTTATTTATTTTTTAAAAATTTTGTTTATTTGAGAGAGAGAACGAGATAGAGAGAGCATGAGAGGGGGGAGGGTAGCAACAATACTGTTACTTTCCTTGATCTAACAGCTCACTTAAGTCACTTTTGAGTATATCTGCCAAACGGTCGAATCTAAATTATGTTTGTCTCATTCATTCAAGTAAAAATGTTCCATGAAAAAAAGTTCAAGTTGCAACTCAAACAACTGCAGAAGTGCTTTTCCTCCAGAAAATCATCACAAGAGAAGTGTTTTATGCATACATTCCACTTAATCACACAGAATATTTTAAAAATGTATACTCAAGGGTCAGAATTCAGTAATAATAGTAACATCTACTTTTTCATCAAGACTTTTTTTTTTTTTTTGGCCATCAAGACAAAAAATTTTTAAGTGAAATTGGCAGCTTTTAAAATGCAAAGAATATGGGGCACCTGGCTGGCTCAGTTGGTGGAGTGTGAGACTCTTTATCTTGGGGTTGTGGGTTCGAGCCCCACACGCTCGGTGTAGAGATTACTTAAAAAAAAAATCTTAAAAAAAATTTTAATTTCTACATACATACATAGATACAATGACTATTAGTACAGTTTAGAGCCACTGTGTTGATTTGTGGGATACTAAACTGCATAGGTCCAGTTTTAGCCACTAATGTTTTTGTACCACCAGTGCAAATGCTGACAGAGTAAAAAGGGCAAATGTCTTAGTATCAGTATAAAGACAGTTTTAATTACAAAGAATCCATGAGGGGCGCCTGGATGGCTCAGTTGGTTAAGCAACTGCCTTCGGCTCAGGTCATGATCCTGGAGTCCCTGGATCGAGTCCCGCATCGGGCTCCCTGCTCGGCAGGGAGTCTGCTTCTCCCTCTGACCACCCCCCCCATGTGCTCTCTCTCATTCTCTCGCTCTCAAATAAATAAATAAAATCTTAAAAAAAAAAAAAAAAAAAGAATCCATGAAACAGGCTTAGGGACTTGAAGAGGGGGCTCATGGACCACCCAAGAACCCCTGGTATAGTGCAAAAAGTTAAAGTCCTTAAGTACTTATCTTCCATTCCTTACCCTCACCTTAGTAGTAACCACTTTCAACAGTATGGTACACAGCCCTTTAATACACACACTTACATACATGTATCTGGTAAAAATGTAATAACAATATGTATCATTCTGAAACTTTGTCTCTTGAGACTCATGTCCAGATCTACCTTATTCTTTAACAAGTACATGATATTCTACAATCTAATTCCACAAATCATAAATTTGTTTAACCATTTTCCCCTATTAGGCATTCAGGCTATCTCCTTAAAAATAGTACAATCAGTATCTTTGTGTAAATATCTTTGATGGGTTAATTCTGGAGCCATTTTGATAATTAAAAACCTGTTCAACAACTCTTAAATATCTATGCTATTATTAGGGAAAATCTAAGAACCTGGTTAAAATCAATATGAAAAGCTCAATTATAAACATGTATCAGAACCAGTTTTCCATTTTCCTGGCTTTTGGTGAAAAAAACTAAATTTAAGATGCAAAAGATTTCACAGAATGCTAACTATTTATGGGTATCAAAAGTAAGCTGTAGTATGTGTGCTACTGGCAGCTACGTTATGTGGGTTTTTTTTTTTTTAAGATTTTAAAATTTTTTTAAGTAATCTCTGCACCCAATGTGCGCCTCAATCTTACAACCCTGAGATTGAGTCACATGGTCTACTGACTGAGCAAACCAGATGCCCCAGCTATGTGCGCTGAAGAACAATTTCAGCTCAACACCTTATCAACGTAGATAACAATGTTAAAAGAGCATGATTACTCTCCTTTAACCTATCATCTAGGTCTACAGTTCTACAGCCAAATACCAAAGTAACACAAAGAACTGGCAATGGAGGTGGTCAAGCTGATGTGTGAACTATAAATTCTCAGTAGCATTATTTAATTTGACCTAGTAACAATAGAAAATAGTTTTAAATTAGAAATGTTGGTGTTATAATTTCCTACTTAAAAACAGTGTCCCAGTACTACAGAAAACATAATTGAGAATGACTTACCATCTTCAAAGGGTGTCCCTTCTGGTCTGAAAACAAGAAGATTTCTGATTAAAAGATGTTTCATTCTGCCTTTCCCTGATTTTTTTTTTTTTAAGTAGGCTCCAGGCCCAGTGCGGAACCCAACACAGGGCCCACCCCCAAGATCCTGAGATCCAAGACCTGAGTTGAGATCGAGAATTGGCTGCCCAACTGAGCCACCCAGGTGACCCCGTTTTGACTTTTAAGAGTGGATAGGATAAACTCAGAGAAAGAGGAGCTCATTTTAATGATTTGTGGAATTTTAAAGTTATTATTATCATCTTAGCCCTAGATTTTTATGGATGTAGGCATAAAGGGTAACTATTTTCTAAGTTTTCATTTTAGGGGGGGTTTAGAAAAAGATCAAAACAAAACAAAAAAAGGCTCATAATTTTAGCACACAAAATTTCAGTTCATAAATACCAACCAGTCATTTTGTAAATGTGTATTCTTAAGAGAAAAAAGTCATATTTTCAATTTTTATCAGTAAGATGGAAATACCCTTTAAAGATAATTATAACACCAAACCAAAGTGTCCTGCTTCCCAACAGAGCAACAGCTCGTTCAAAACAGCTAGATAGAACTGACGTAACCAAGAAAGCCACTTTCTTTTGCTCAAATCTTTTCCCTGCCTCCATATCCCAATTTCATCTTTCCTAACCAGCACCATCAAGTTTATTTTTTGCAAGTTAGCTTGAATTTAAGATCTCTTTAGAAGAATAAACTACACTAACTTTTCCACTAGTATTTAACATAGACTCATAACTAATTCAATGGCAACTCAATTGTTTATGAAGGTGCTCCTTTGAAGTTTTAGTGCAAAACCCTAGTTTTCAAAAGTGTGAAAGAAAAAAGATCAAGTCCAGAAAAACAGGAGAAAAGGCATAAGGAAATTTTAAATCAAGGCGCCTAGGTGGCTCAGTTGGTCAAGCAGCCAACTCTTTAGGCTCAGGTCATGATCTCAGGGTTGTGAGAACTGAGCCCCCTGTGGGGCTTGGCATTGGCTGTGAAGCCTGCTTGAGATTCTCTCTCTTCCTCTGCCCCTCTGCTCCCATCCCTAACCCGTCTCTTAAAAAAAAAAAAAGCATACATGCAATATATATAATGTTTAACATTTTTTGTTTATTCTTGCCACATTGGAAGCTCTGAGTATTTTTTCTTCTTAGTCTTTTTACAGTCCAAAAGAATGCAAGCATAAACATTTATTTGCTTGGTACATTTTACTGTAGAAAATAATTTACCTTTTCTTGTTTAGTTTCAAATGATATTTTTAATCAGGTAAAACCCAAAGTGCTTATAAAAATCATAGGCAGTAACATCAACACAAATAAATTTGAGTTAACTGCAAAAACACAGAATTTTAAAAAAATTTATTTTGCAATTTCTGTAAGAGCCCCCAATTCCACTTCAGCCTCTTTGCCTAGTGGATACATTCACTTTTCTTAAAGAATTACCATACCTATCATTTGTTATATCTTTCTACTCACCCAAATATAACTGCATTCCACTGCATAATGTTGTTTTCAGATGGTGCGCCACTGACACCCACAGGTGGGTCCTCTTGCAATCTAGAAATCGAGAGTAGTAATTTTCAAAGTTGAACAATAAGGTCACTACGAAGGCCAAAGAGAACCCTTATGGACTATTCTACCTACTTTGACACAAACTAAATCATTTCCTTGTTCTTGTGCTGAGGTGGAATAAACCATAGGACTAAAAAGGAAAAAAAATCAACCTTGTATATACTTATTAAATACCTCTCCAAGTTGTCTAAATTTCTAAAGAGGTTTGGAGTCATCCCTCTTTGAAAATGAAGGTTAAGATGTATCTTCGAGAAGTGATGCATACAGACTGCCATCAACAACAAAAATTAAAAGCCCCAAGTGCAAAAAATATTTCCACAGACCATCTTTTTTGCTGCTGTAAACATGCAAAGACGGTCTATGTGAGTCCAAACCACAGCTACCTGTGTAACATGGCCACCAACCCAACAAAGGACCCTCAAGGCAAACACTAAATGACTGAAAACACTGATATTCAATTTAATTAGCAAACTAGTTTTAGGCAGGCGAGTACCTTTATCCCATTTGCTTCAATTAGCAGTAGCTTTAAAGTAATCAAGCCTCAGTTATGTTTTTTCATCAGTCCCTATTTTAAAGATCTGCGCTACAGCTAAATCTACCTCTCCTATCAGGAGACGCGATACAAAGCTACCTTCCAACATTTGTCACAATCAGATTCTCGTAACCTTAAGACCATTGGAAAACTACGAAAGGTGCCATGTGTTCAACTCAGAATTTAACAGAGATGGGCAGTAAGAAACCAGAGTAACAATGGACACGAACTGAAGTTTTATTGTTTGGCTTTCACTCATTGGAGCTAACATGAAATTTGATTTTAAACTTCAGAAGGCAACTTTTGCACCAAATAGAGCATCTCCTTGTAAAGACTGTCATTTCAATAGAAAAATAAATGGGACATTTTATACACAGGTATCTGTATGTAGTGATTGTCCTATAATATGATACTTTGAAATTAGACTACATAAAAATAGTTCTTTTCAGTCAACCTCAAACACATTAAGCCACGATGACCAGAAGCCTTTAAAGAATTATGCTGCTTCTCGCCCACCAAGGGTAAACGGCTACGTTACGAATATATTCAATGATAAACCGCCCAAAGCCCAAGACAATGGCTTCCAAATGCTTCACCTATGGCTTTATAATGGCGAAGTTGAAAGGTTACTTCCTGAGCAGCTAACCTAAGTTTTTATACTAGATATTTTGTCTCAATTAGGGCAGATCTCCCCAGGAAAAAAAAAACACTTAAAAATGTGCAGTGGATCGTAATGCTAAGTTTTCTCATTTTCCCCCCCGTACCTCCAAGTATTCAAAGGTAAACAACTGAAAAAAAAGTCACTTCCTCCTCACTAAACCCAACACCACCTAACAAAACCCTATTTTATAAAAGGAGGCCCAGGGAGTATCAGGTTAGCGCCAGCCTCAAGGAAGGCATTTTTCCAGACTTTGGAGGCTATAGATAGGGCTTTATACACCAGGCCACAGAGCTGAGCTCCAGAAGGCACTAGCAGCCCGGGCTACCAGCCCGAGTCCCAGGTCTCTAAGCCAGTTCTCAAGGTCCTTTCGGGGGGGGGGCGAGGGAGAGTCGGGTTTCGGAGGATGGGTTAACAACCTCCCGACCTCGCGCTGCAGACCCCACCCTCACTGCAGAAAGAATGGGGGGGGGCGCTTTTCGCCCCAACCCTGCCCCTCAGCGAAGACCGCAGGGCCATCCAGGAAAACTGGTGCACCAAGCAGGGAAAAAGATTCTGCAAGGGTTTGCTTCTGGGGGACAGGGACCGGGCACGACAGGGTGAAGGGGCGGAGGGATGAGGCTTGAGCTCTAGGGCCAAACGTCGGGCAGCTGACCCAAGAGGGCAGCGGGTAATCCTAGGACAGACCATAGCCATCTTCTTACTTTTGGGGGAGGGGGGTATCGAAATTTCTTACGTCGGAAGAGCAAGCAAGGATGAAGGAGTGCGAACCGGGGCTAGGACTGGGCTTCCGTCGGTACCGCTGGGCCCACAGTCGGCCCTCTTAGGGTTATGAGAGGAAGGTGTCCCGGATCCCCGCCCTGCAGCCCCACAGCTATGGGGAGGAGCCGTCATCCAGGCGAAGGTGAGGGCCCTTACCGCTTGAAATCCCGCATGAGCCTCCTCCGGGCCGGAGTCGACATGCTCCTCAGCTGCCCCGCGGTCAGTCTGAAAGAAAAGAGTCCCGCGCAGCCCCCCCACCCCCCGGCACAGCGGCCGAATCACTGTTGGTCACCGCCGCCGCCGAGGCTGCACAAACAACCCTGCAATGACGTCTCCCTCCGCCGCCTCCAGATCCCTCCGCCCTCCGCCAGTACCACAGACTGAGGGGTAGCGGAGAAGGGCACGGGGCGCATGAAAGCTCGTTATGGGAGCTTTTGAGCAGGGTTCTATCCTTTTGGCTTCCTAGTCTAATCGAGAAGTTAGTGTTCTCTGTTCTCGGTCTGGAGATTGTGGATTAAGAGACCCCGAAGCCGAAACACCATCCTGCGTCTCCCCCTTTCAGTAGTTTAAACTCGACCGGGTGGGGACAGAGAGGCTCATCCGGGGCCACAGATTTCAGGGAAAGGAGGTGGGATGACGTAAGATCACGTGACTGCCGGCGGCGTTGTCAACAATCCACCCCTGAGGGGGAGGGGACGAAGTATCTAGAACCACGTGTCCCTATGACGAAGTTAGAACAGATCACGTGGGAGCGTCGCCTGAATCTCAGTCAGGTCTATGGAGCAAGTGATCAAATTTATGGGGCTGAGGGTGGGGAGAGGCCTTTACTAGTTTTCCCTCCAGTTTGCTTCATGAACAGGGTCGGCGATCGTGGCAGAAGCAAAAGCTTGCTTTGCTCCTTTAAAACAGAGCCAAAGGGGCGCCTGGGTGGCTCAGTCGGTTAAGCGTCTGCCTTCGGCTCAGGTCATGATCCCAGAGTCCTGGGATCAAGCCTCGCATTGGGTTCCCTGCCCAGGGGGAAGCCTGCTTCTCCCTCTCCCACTCTCCCTGCTTGTGTTCCCTCTCTCGCTGTGTCTCTCTCTGTCAAATAAATAAACAAAATCTTTAAAAAAAAAAAAAAACAGAGCCAAAAATAATATAGATTTAAAATCCTTTCTGGTTGGTACAATGACTTACCAAATCTGGTACGTGGGGCAGAGGGAACTTCCATTTTTTAATGAGTGCAGCATTGAAATACTAAGGCCCACACTAAGTAAAATTCCCTGAAATGCTTCCATAAGGCCACCAAATAGCCTGTATATGCACTACGCTGGGGTTTCCACCGTTGGAAATTCTGAGGACAAAAAAGAATGTAGAGATGGTCTTAAGGTTTGTTGACTATCTCTATGGAATTACGGAATCGTATTTTAACATAGGTCTGCTCTCATTTGAGGATTGGTGTCAAAGTCAATGGATTTGGCTAAGATGGGGGTACATGGAGATGAAATCTCAAAGCATTTAGAAGGGTGGTTGGTTGTCAAGAAGGCTTACAAATCTGACTCGGATGTGGGGGAAGAGATTTTGCAGACTTGGGTGGGGGTTATATATCTAATCTGGATAACTCATTTCAGGTTTTCTACACTACTAAGTAAGGTGCAGATGGACCTGAAATGTCACCTACCAGGGAGCTCAGAGGTGTTGATGCAATCCGTGGGGATTCTGACATTTCCTTGAGTTCTCTCCTTCCATTGCCTTTGATTCCTGGGCTTGGGGCTTTAATGGTCTGGAGGACTCTGAGCGCTTTATATCCTTCTGGGTAATTCTTCAGCCCAAGGTGAAATGGGACCATTGTGCCAAGTTGCCCATAGTCTCATGGAAACTGAAAGTGTTAATTTCCCCCACTTTCTTGCTACCTCCTTTTTCTGAAACCTTGAATTCTGTCTTTTGCTTTTATAACTGCCTTGGTGATCAAATTAGCCAAGCCTAACTCTTTTTTTTTATTTGACAGAGAGAGAGAGATAGCGAGAGAGGGAACACAAGCAGGGAGAGGGTCAGAGGGAGAAGCAGGCTTCCTGCCGAGCAGGGAGCCCGATGCGGGGCTCGATCCCAGAACCCTGGGATCATGACCTGAGCCGAAGGCAGTCGCCTAACCAACTGAGCCACCCAGGCGCCCCAAGCCTAACTCTTGATAGGTTCTGTGATGCATTCACAAATGAGATTCTCTAAATTAAATGCTAAATATTCTCATTTTTTGCCTTCCTGCCGTAGCGATTCTAGTTCTCCCCAGTATATAGCTAAAGATGAAGACATACAGGTAGGTTCACATGCAGTGAAATGCTAAAAATAAACTTCAAAAAATACCCTATTGTGTCATTTACCTAGCAATGTATAATTGTTATGGAAACTCATAATTTATGGAAGCTGTCAGGCCAGCAGAACCCCATGTCTAGTTCTTAAGCAATTAGTTAATGGCTTCCCCCCCTTTGCTGTGCCCTTGTATGTCAGGCCATGTCGGTATGTCTACGGAGCCCTTTTAATTGTTTTCCCAAAGAGGGTGTCTTTAAAAAGGAGTACGACGAGTTCGAAAAAAAACTAAAAGTATATAGGTGTTCAAGAAATATTCTTAATTTTGAGAACCGTCTTAACCCCGTTTTAAGGATGAATGCCGACAGCTGAGATCGAACTCAGGTCTGTGGAATATTAATGTAACTAGGTAATTCAGACGACTATAATTACACAAGACTTCCTCGGAAGACTAGTTTTACAAGATGTCTCTATTTAATGACTCCAGCCATCCTTTTAGGATCCAGCACCAGCGGCGTAAGTTCTTTGGCCTGGGGGCATCTAAGACGCAGGTTAGGCAACCCTCCGCCTCTGTTGCCCCTTCCTAGAAGACATGCAGACTCTCGGTGCAGTAAAATGTGGATCCTCCCCCACCTCTGCTCAAAACCAACCTTGTGCGTTGGTCTCAACCCGTATACTGCCCACCCCAACCCCAAGAACGCTTTCACTTAGCACCCACCGGGAACTCGTTTTCACCATTCTCATTTTCTCTTCCGGGTCGGGCCGGGGCGGTGGCGTCCGGCCGATGTTCCGGTCTTGCGCAGTAGGCTCCGAGCGCGAGGTCCGCGGCACCGTTGCCATGGTAGTGGGCTGCTTGGAACTAGCGGGGCTGGCAAGCCAAGTAGGGTCGGTGTCGAGTTGTTCCGCAGGGTCTGCGCGGAGCCGGGCCGGCGGGACTGCAAAATGGGCTGAGACTTCCGCTGCTGACCGGACGAGGTCGACTGCGGGGCAAGGGGCGCAACACTGGTCCGAGACCCTAAGACGTCTGGTTTGAGGAACCGGTGGGGCTGAGGTTTTCTTGGGTCCGGGGGCCTGATCTGTGGGCGACTGCAGTATTTCGGGAACCCCAGAGTTGAGGGGCGTATGATAGAAGTGTGCGTGTGCGGACCCCACTCCTGATGGATTGGTGACATGTAGTGAGGGAATCGTAAATCTGAGTGTTCACAGGAATGACCGAGACAGCAGGAAGCTCCCTAATTTCTGGTGAGCCCTGGAGCCCCACAAGGACCCTACTGCCTAGTTGGCAGAGTTCCCGAGGACAAACAAGCATCTATGGAAAAGATTAATATTTTCCATGTTTACGTATTTTAAAATATGAGTTTATTGCGGAAATGCATTGTCCAGCTTGAATAAATAAAAGTACAAATGTTTAACTTCTTTTTCTTTATTTTTATGAAGAAGAATCCGGGCTTGAAAATGGAGATGTATGAAACCCTCGGAAAAGTGGGAGAGGGAAGTTATGGAACAGTCATGAAGTGTAAACATAAGGATACTGGGCAGATAGTGGCCATTAAGATATTTTATGAGAAACCAGAAAAATCTGTCAACAAAATTGCAACGAGAGAAATAAAGTTTTTAAAGGTTTGCTTCTTTTACCTTAATTGCTGTAAGTCAAAAGAGGAATTGTTATGGAATAAAAAACTATATAGGGAATCTTTTAGTTAACATATGTATTAAGACATAGAGTAGAATAAAAAAGTGTGGTTCCCTATCTTATTGTCTACATTTTGAAATTTTATCGTGATACAAGATATATATGCTTATATATAATGTAACAAAAGTTATGCCAAATATTATGAAATATTTATTCAGAAATAGTAAAAGACAGTATCTGCTCTAAAGAATTTTTATTGTTTAATCAGAAAGATGGGAGGGCACTTGAAAACAATACTGAATAAAAAGTGACTCATAATAAATGCCAAGTGATTAACACAAAGTCCAGTTGGGTAGAGAAATTTTCTTGGAGGAAATGGGACATGCATTTGGTCTTAAAGGATGTGCAGAATTAGGTAGGAGGGAGAAACTATTGTATTCTAGGTTAGGGGAACAACATAAACTCAGAGGTGTTCAAGCAGGACAAAGGACAGAGAGCAGGGACGTTGATTGGTCTGTAGAGTTTTTGTACAAAAGTAGAAAGAGGTGAGATTAGAGAAGTGAACTGGAGTTAGGTTTTAAAGTCTTGTCTTAAAAGGACAAAATTTGATTTTGTAAGAGGTGGAAGGTTTTGAATTCAAAATAAAGCAACTATATATAATAATTTAGCACTATTTTTTAGAACAGGTTGTAAGACAGAGTAAAAACAGGGAGGTCTGTTATAAATTTAATTCAAGAATCCTGGTAAAGATCATGAGAGCCCTCGCTGGGTTGCAGCAATTTGAATTTAAAGTTGGAAAAGCAAAGTTAAAACAATATATTGCGGAAGAAGACATGAAAGAATGTAGAAGGAAACACAAAGAGGGAGACAAAAGGATTGGTGAAGTTCAGTGACTGTTCTCACTGATGGAAATATGAAAGACCCAAACAAGAAATGGTCTGGGAACTAGTTCAGTTTCAGAAATGTTGAATTTGATGCGACAAGAATACATTTAAGTAAAGCTGACTAGTATGCTTTTAGAAATGGGGCGGAAATTAGAATTTTGTGTAGGTATGACAGGTCAACCCAGGGGAAAGAACTCAGGACTGTGAAGAAAGGAGCATTAACCTTCTAGGTCCTTGGGGATTGGGTACAAAACTAGGGATTAAAAAAATATTTAAATCTACATATTTTGTTTATTAGAATTTGTCTAGATGCTGTAAGGTTTATGACTTTGACAACATAGTCTAGATGTTTTATGTGAAGAAAATAGATACTCTTTCATTTTTTTTTTAAAGATTTTATTTATTTATTTGAGAGAGAGAATGAGAGAGAGAGAGAGAGAGAGCATGAGAAGGGAGAGGGTCAGAGGGAGAAGCAGACTCCCCGCTGAGCGGGGAGCCCGATGCGGGACTCGATCCCGGGACTCCAGGATCATGACCTGAGCCGAAGGCAGTGGCTTAACCAACTGAGCCACCCAGGCGCCCCAATACTCTTTCATTTTTATCTGATACAAAAGTAATATTCACCTCTTTTTTACAATTGAAGTATAATTAACATACAATGTTATATTAATTTCAGGTGTACAATGTAGTGATTTGACATTTCTCTACATTACTGAGTGCTCACCATAAGTGTCGTCATCTGTCACCATACAATGTTATTGACCATATTCCCTGTGCTGTACTTTTCATTTCTGTGACTTTTTAGTTTTATCCCTGGAAGTTTATACCTCTTAATCCCCTTTTATCTAGCTCACCCTTTGTCTCCTCTGGCAACCACCAGTTTGTTTTCTGTATGTAAGAGCCTGTTTGATTTTTTTGTTTGTTCATTTGTTTTGTGTTTTTTCGATTCCACATATAAGTGAAGTCATATGGTATTTGTCTTTCTTTATCTGACTTATTTCACTCTGTTACACCTTCTAGGTCCATCCATGTCTCAAATGTTAAGATCTCATTTTGGGGGGGTGGGGCACCTGACTGGTTCAGTCAGTAGAGCATGTGACTCTTGATCTCAGGGTTGTGAGTTTGAGCCCCACATTGGGTGTAGAGATTACTTTTATATATCTATATTTTAAGATTTTTTATTTATTTTTTTTGACAGAGAGAGACATAGCGAGAGCAGGAACACAAGCAGGGGGAGTGGGAGAGGGAGAAGCAGGCTTCCCACAGAGCAGGGAGCCCGATGTGGGATTCGATCCCAGGACCCCGGGATCATGACCTGAGCCGAAGGCAGACGCTTAACGACTGAGCCACCCAGGCGCCCTAGAGATTACTTTAAAAAAAAATCTATGGTTGAGTAATATTCTATCGTATATATACACCATATCTTCTTTATCCATTCGTCTATGGATGGATACTTTGGTTGCTTCCGTATCTTGGCTATTGTATTAACACTGCAGTAACCATAGGGGTGCATATATCTTTTTGAATTAGTGTTTTCACTCTCTTTGGGCAAATACCCAGTAATGGAATTACTGGATCATGTGGTATTGCTACATCTAATTTTTTGAGCAACCTCCATACTATTTTCCATAGCAGCTTCTTCAATGTATAGCCACCCCCCCACCCAACAGTGCACAAGGGTTTCCTTTCCTCCACATTCTTGCCAACACTTGTTATTTTCTTGTCTTTTTAATACTAGCCATTCTGATTGGTGTGAGGTGATACCTCATTTTGGTTTTGATTTGCATTTCCCTGATGATGAGTGATGTTGAGCGTCTTTTATGTGTCTGTTTGCCATTTGTATATCTCCTTTGGAAAAATGTCTATCCAGGTCCTTTGCCCATTTTTAAATAGTATTGTTTGTCTTTTTTAGTGTCGAGTTGTGTAAGTTCTTTATATATGTTGGATATTAAACCCTTATCCTATACATCATTTTTAAGTGTCTTCTCCCATTCAGTAGGTTGCCTTTTTGTTTTGTTGATGGTTTCCTTTGCTGTGCAAAAGCTTTTTATTTTGGTATAGTCCCAATAATTTATTTTTGCTTTTATTTCCCTTGTCTGAGGACATAGATCCATAAACATGTTGCTAAGGGGGATTTCTAAGAGATAACTGCCTAATGTTTTCTTTTAGGAGTTTTATGGTTTCAGGTCTCACATTTAGGTCTTTAATCCATTTTGAGTTTATTTTTGTGTATGGTGTTAGAAAGTGGTACAGTTTCATTTTTTTGCATCTAGCTGTCCAGTTTTGAAAAGACTGTCTTTTCGTGATTGTCTTGCCTCTTCTGTTGTGAATTAATTGACCATGTAGGTGTGTTCTGTTCTTTTGATTTGTGGGCAAGTTTTTATGCCATTTCTATTTATCTGTGTGTTCCATTGATCTCTGTGGCCTGTTCTGTTGATCTGTTTGTCTATTTTTGTGTCAGTACCATACTATTTTGATACTATAGCCTTGTAGTATATCTTGAAATCTGGGATTGTGATACTTCCAGTTTTGTTCTACTTTCTCAACATTGCTTTGACTATTCGAGGTCTTTTGTGATTCTATATAAATTTTAGGATTATTTGTTCTAGTTCTGTGAAATTCTCTTCTTTGTAAGTCTATATTAGATATGGACAAATTTGTTTTTTAAATAAAATAAATATGTTAAGCATATATATATGTGGATTGTTGAAGTACTCTTTCTAGACAGTGGAAAGAAAAGGTAAAGTCAGTAAAGATGTTATGATTTTGTGAGATGCCAGTCCTATTCCTGATGACCTAAAACATTTAATACTGTAAGGCAGTTGTTGTACACCATAAGTGAAAATCTGATTAGATGGAGATCTTTTCCCAGGCAGTATCTTTTGCTCTTTCTTCAACTCTGTTACATTTAAGCTGATTATTTTTTTCTACTTTATCATTTTGGTTTTTTTTTTTCGAAGATTTTATTTATTTATTTGACAGAGAGAGCGAGAGAGGGAACACAAGCAGGGAGAGTGGGAGAGGGAGAAGCAGGCTCCCTGCTGAGCAGGGAGCCCAACGCTCAATCCCAGGACCCTGGGATCATGACCTTAGCTGAAGGCAGATGCCCAACAACTGAGCCACCCAGGCACCCCTCTACTTTATCATTTTGTAAAAACAACCAATATGTGGCAAGAACACAGAGAAGAATTAGAAAATGTACTTAACTATTACAACTATTATGCAGACTGTTTTGAAACACCTTAACTATTTATTCTCATTGGCTTATTTATTTGTTTGGGTGTTTTTGTTTGTTTTATTTTTAAGTAGGCTCCATGCTGGGCCTAAGATCAAGACCTGAGGAGAAATCAAGAGTCAGAGGCTTAACCAACCAAGCCACCCAGGTGCCCCTTGTTGGCTTATTTCTTATGGAATTTTTAGTTTGATCTTATCTAATTCAACAAGAGAGAGTTCTTGGATTAATTCACATTTTTAGTCTAAAAAGGTTGCCATTATGACTTCATTTGAATTAAATTTTTATGTGCTAGAATTTTATTAAATAAATTACAGTTAGAGTAATTAGTGACAATATCTTTAGAAAAGTTGTCTGGTAATGAAGGGAAACAAAAGTCAACAACTTGAAGAGTGGCAATGGAGCATTTCTAGGAGTTTCATGGTTAATCTGAGAAAGCACCTGATTCTTTACCCTGGTGGATCTTCCATAATGCTTATTAACTCACATTGACTCTTCGTTGCTTTAGCCTTAAGACTAGAGAGGGAACCCGTAATTTTCCTTAATTGAAGGATTAGTAGTGTAGTGTCCAAAAGCAGTCAGTTGTTCGGGCTGCCGCTAACATGGTGTCACTGCAGCCCTCTGGCATCTTGCCAACCAGGGGAATTGGGAGCAAAAATAGGAGAGGAATCTGGCATTATATCCTGGCATGTTTTTCTTTTAGTCGTATTTTAAGGACTTTGGTCTATGTGATAGTACAGATAAGTAGAAAAATTGATAATTGTGCTGTTAGAATAAAGACAAATATTTTTCATAAAAGTTTAATTTTCTAATGAATCTAACATTGAAAATATGCCTCTCAGTTTGTAGCCAAAGGAATAAATGCTTTTAGTAATTTGAAGATGTTAAATATTTGAGACTTGGTGATAATTAAGTTAGTGTGTTAAAAAATAAAGTAAGCAGCATAAAATATTGAACCTCATTTGTTTTCTAAGCTGATAGATGCCATTTTTGACCTTTTGAAGTTATCTTACCATTGATTGTTACTAGTTTAAAAAGGTATTTTGTTACTTAGTAGAATATTATAGACAGTGAACAAAAAGGTATCCACAAATAATTGTATATTTTTGTGAAGTTCCTATGACATAAATTGTTATCTCACATATCTGTAAAGTTTCTACGTATTTTGATACTCTTTTGTTCCAGTGTAATTAATTAATTTATATTGTCCACCTGGAACTTATGTTTCACTTTTGAGAGTTGAGGATCAAACTAAGAAAATAATTTATTTGAATTCAGATCATGTACTGAGTGGCATTGAAATCCATGCTCATTTGAAAAGATAACATTTTAAATTTCAGATGTTAGACTTTTTTTTTTAAGATTTTATTTATTTATTTGACAGAGAGAGAGAGATAGCGAGAGCAGGAACACAAGCAGCGGGAGTGGGAGAGGGAGAAGCAGGCTTCCAGCTGAGCAGGGAGCCCAATGCAGGGTTTGATCCCAGGACCCTGGGATCATGACCTGAGCCGAAGGCAGACGCCTAATGACTGAGCCACCCAGGCACCCCTCAGATGTTAGACTTAATTATAAACCAAATTAAAGGATAGAAAGATATGTCTTAGGGGCACCTGGATGATGCAGTAAGTTAAGTGTCTGACTCTTGGTTTCAGCTCATGATCCTCAGGGTTGTGAGATAGAGCTCCACATCTGCTGAGCACGGAGTCTTCTTGAGATTTTTTTCTCTCCGTGTCCCTCTGTCCCTCCCATTTGTACACACTCTCTTTCAAATAAAGAAATCTTAAAAAAAAAAGATACGTCTTAGCATACCAAGTTAAAAAAATATTAAAAAAACCTATTAAAAAAAATAGGCTGAGAATATTTCTGCCTTTAAAAATTATATGGTGTTATATATAAATTAGGTGTTATATATACTTATAGGTGTTATATATAAATTAGGTGTTATATATAAATTATTGTGCATGAAATAATGTATTATAAATCTGTTTCTTTTGTCAATAGCAATTTCGTCATGAAAACCTGGTCAATCTGATTGAAGTTTTTAGGCAGAAAAAGAAAATTCATTTGGTGTTTGAATTTATTGACCACACAGTATTAGATGAGTTACAACATTATTGTCACGGACTAGAGAGTAAACGACTTAGAAAATACCTCTTCCAGATCCTTCGAGCAATTGAGTATCTTCATAATAATAATGTAAGTGCTTCGGAGTAAGCCAATAGGATGTATATGAATCTTAAGTGCTCTTTATTTTTTTTTTTTTAAAGATTTTATTTATTTATTTGACAGAGAGAGACACAGTGAGTACACAGTAATAAAGCTGTAACTATAACAACAGGGCAGAACAAGTATGGGATGCTAAAGGAAGTATCAGTAATTGGTAAGGAGGAACCAGCTGTTAATTGGGACCTTTTACTGGGGAAAGTACATCAAAATGTTGCCAGGCGGGCTCAAATGTAGGAAGGTTTGGAGGTAGGAACTGGAAACTAGGACATGGGAATGGGAAATGAATGTGGATGCTTTTAGGGAAAGAAAGCAGAAATGAAGTTGCTAAGAGGTACACAGTCTTGCTTAACATGAAAAAATCAAGACAGGAAAGATCAACTTCTGATTTTTAGTGTTGCCTTTAACACTGCCTAGTAAGTGTTTAGCTCAGCAAGTTTTTATGGAGATATTTCGTTCCCAAATTCAACTCTGCTTTCTGGGAAGTTAGATATACAGGAAATAACAGGAAGAGCCTCAAAAAATTTATTAATAAATGATATAGGCATAATATCTTATATCCTAAGCTTTTTTGGATATCTTAATTTCTAATTTTCTGTCTTGCTAATAGTGCATCTCATTTTGTGGTTTTGAAAAATGTGGTTGTGATAGCAACTGGAATTCAGATTGTCATTTCCTTGCCAGCTGGATCCATGGGGAGGCCGTATAATGTAATAGTGAGAGCACAGTCTGTAGAATCAGACTCTCCTAGATTTTCACCCACCAGCTTTTCTCTGGGTAACAACACACCTGTGCAGTTCACAGCTCACTGCAGTAGTCTGCAGTGACAGGTGGCAGTCCCATTATGCTCTGATCCCAGGAAAGTTGCCTGATCTCTCTGAGCCTCACTGTCCTCTTCGGTAAAAGGATATAGTACCTCACAGATTTTTTGTAAAGGTCAAATTAGGTAGTAGGTATAAAGTGTTCAGCATTGTGTCAAGCATATTTTAAGTACTTAATAAGTAGTGCTGGTAGGGAGTCAGGAATAGTTGTGTTATCTGTATCCGTGTCATGCCTTATCTATTTGAAAGTGTTTCTTGAATCAAGGGAGACACCAGTATGGGCTATACTCGGAGGAGAGGACTTCAAAGAGGAAGTAAAATTAAAGTAAGTAGAATTTGGAATTGTAGCTAAGATTTCACTGGAATAGAAGAGGAAATAGATTCAGATGGAATACCACTGTGAGAACAGTGGCAGGCCTGAGCAGGGGACTTGAGAGAGTGGTAGTGAGTGAGCTTTACAGAGACTAGGTAAAGGATGATAAGATTGCATGGGTTCCCTGAGGAGAGGTTTCCAGAGTCTTGAAATTCATCCTGACGAGTTTGGACTTTTTCCTGAGGATACTGGGAAACCACGGAAGGATTTTGAACCTGGCTGTAACCGGATTAAAACAAAACCTAAGTTTATTTTGGCAAGTGTAGAGGAAAAGTATGGGTAGAAGCAGATCAGGAGAGAGGCTTTTGTGACAGTCCAGATATGAAGTGGTAAGGGCTTGAAATAGGGAGAGGAAGGATGGCAAAGGCAGAGGATGGAAAGACTCAAAGGGGAAATGATAGGATATGGGGACTAAGTAGATATGAAAGGGATGTGAATAAAGTGAGAAATCAAAGATAATTACAAAATTTTTAATTGAGTGCAGGAAAATTATGGTGCCATTGGCAGTAACCGGTTTTACAAGGGGGAATTGCTTTTAGAAACATTGATATATTTTAAGGGACAGTGAGAATTTCTCAGTCAGAATAGTGGTTGACCTATTATTTAACATGGCCTTTCTAGGAAGTTGTCAGAACTGGATATACAGATTTGGGAATTTTCCTCTTAGAGACTATGGTTGAAGAAGTTAAGGATGGATTATTCTCCAAGGGACAAAAAGAAAAGTAAAAGGTAGTCCTCAGCACCACATATGGAGGAATATCCATGGAATTGTGGGGGCAGCAGAGAAAAAGGCCTAGACAGAAGCACCTAAATTCTTTATTCTCTTGGTCTCACCAAGGACCTAAAGTAAAATTAACCCTGTCATTCACCTCATAGAATATTGTGAAGTTAGTTACTCCTGAGAATTAAGGCAGCCATGAATGAAGTGGCTCATTAGAATATTATGCCTATTATCTGGGTATCTGGGTTCTGGCCTTGATGATTTAAGGTTATCTTCATGTTGACAAAAACCAAGAAAAGAAAACTTTATTTTCCTAATATCTCCAAATTTCAGATGAATATTTTTATGTGACTGAAATGTCTGAGATAGAGTCTATCATGATACCCCATGTTACTTTTCATAAGAATTTATGAAGTCAGATACAGTTCAGTACCCGAAAAAGCTTTTTATCTCCAGAAATATGTTTACCTTCTTCTATTTAATAATGAAAATACGTTTTCTTTCCTATATTGGCTTCTAGGCAGCTCAAATAAAAATTTACTATTCAGTTACAGTAACTAATTGATTATAGGAATTTGTTTTATCTTTTTCACTCTGGTTGTTTTTTAAAATTTAAAATTTTTATCTGGTTAGTATTATAAGCCTCTTATACCTGAAACAAATGTAACATTGTGTGTCAACTATACTTCAATAAAAAAATTTTAAAATATATTATAAAATATCCAAACTATGTAGCATAAGATTATGTGCTGTTTGTGCTGATGTGCACTCCTGGTCTCCCACTATCAAACACACAAGTGAGAGTTGACTGTGTCTGGCTTTCACAAGTGGTATGTCATATAATTTCAGCTCATTATTTTAGAGCAAATGGGTCTGACAGATTAAAACTGTGTACACAGGGCACCTGGGTGGCTCAGTCAGTTAAGCATCTGCCTTCGGCTCAGGTCAGGATCCCAGGGTCCTGGAATCGAGTCCTGCATCAGGCTCCCTGCTCAGTGGGGAGTCTGCTTCTCCCTCTCCCTCTGCCCCTCCCCTCCTGCTTGTGCTCTCCCTCTCTCTCATCCTCTCTCTCTCTCTCAAATAAATTTAAAAAATTCTTTAATAAAAAAAGCTGTATAAACAATAAATATTACCATGCTTTTATTTCATATAATTATTTTTAAAAACTCAAAGTTTTAGAATTCATGTGATAATTCAAACTGCTTATTGTTTACTTACAGAGAAAATACCATACTGTACACGAAGTTGTAAACTTCATACAAATTGAAATAGTTCTTCAAAAATAGTCCAAGTCCTATAAGCTTGTGAAGCAATATTAAGTGCTATGTAAAGAGTTTGTTAATTCTAAATGAATAAAGTTTTGTGAATCCTGGAAAAAACTATTCTAAACCTCTTTGAAACCATTTTGGAAGCAAAGTGTAAATACAAATATGTGGCCACTTATGGGGAAGAAATGGTTATTCATTCCCTCATTCATTTATCCAATAAATAGTCATTGAGCATCTTCCAGTAGCAATCATTGATTGTAGTAAGAGCTGAGGATGCAGCCTTGAGTAAAAGACTTGGTTCCTGTCCTCATGGAGCTTCTTAAATTTTATTAAGTTTTCAGTAACCTTTATGAATTATGAATTATTCTGACTAATACCTAAACACTGTTGATATTTCTTAACCCCATCCCACCTCCTACTCCACAAAGCCCTTTTTCCCTAAGTTTAGGCCACTTTTGCATAGGGTTTTATTTATTTTTATTTTTATTTTTTAAGAGATTTTGAGAGAGAGAGAGACAAAGAGAAATGAGTGGTGGGGTGGAGCAGAGGGAGTGAGAGAGAAACAGACTTCCTGCTGAGCAGGAAGCCTGACATGGGGCCCAATCTCAGGACCTGGAGATCATGACCTGAGCCGAAGGCAGATGCTTAACCAAATGAGCCACCCAGGTGCCCCTTGCATAGTTTTTTTAAACTCTGCTTTGAATTTTAAACTCATAGTCTTCCAAACAAGGAATTGTTATTATTTGGATAATGTTATTGTTAACATTTTACTATGATTTAATATGTTTTGGGGTGACTGGGTGGCTCAATTAAGCATCCCACTCTTGGTTTCTGCTCAGGTCATGATCTCAGGGTCATGAGATTGAGCCCCACATTGGGCTCTGCACTCAGCACAGAGTCTGCTTGAGAGTCTCTCTCCCTCTCACCCTGCCCCTCCTCTACCCCCCAACTCACTCACATGCCCTCTCTCAAATAAATAAATAAATCTTAAAATATATATATATGTTTTGGGATGCCTGGGTGGCTCAGTCGGTTAAGCATCTGCCTTCGGCTCAGGTAATGATCCCAGGGTCCTGGGACTGAGTCCCGCATCAGGCTCCTTACTCAGCGGGAAGCCTGCTTCTCCCTCTGCCTGCCTCTCCCCCTGCTTGTGCTCTCTCTCTCTGACAAATAAATAAATAAAATCTTTTTAAAAAATATGTTTTAATATATTAATGTTTTGCTATATGTGCTTCATCTATTTTGTTTTCTGAGGTATTTTAAATTACAGGTACCCTGACGTTTTATCCCTAAATAGGTCACTGTATCTCTTTATAAAAGCATATTTTCCATTGGACAGCCACATGCTGAAGACTGAAACTGGACCATTTTCTTACACCATATACAAAAATAAACAAAATGGATGAAAGACCTAAATGTGAGACAGGAATCCATCAAAATCCTAGAGGAGGACACGGCAGCAACCTCTTTGACCTCAGCTGCAGCAATTTCTCGCTAGACACTTCTCCAAAGGCGGGGGAAACAAAGGCAAAAATGGGCTGTTGGGACTTCATCAAGATAAAAAGCTTTTGCACAGCAAAGGAAACAGTTGACAAAACCAAAATACCCACAGAACCGGAGAAGATTTTTGCAAATGCCTTGTCAGATAAAGGGCTAGTATCCAAAATCTATAAAGAACTTACCAAACTCAACACCCAAAGAACAAATAATCCAGTCAAGCAATGGGCAGATGACATGAACAGACTATCTCCAAAGAAGACATACAAATGGGGCGCCTGGGTGGCTCAGTT